CACACAAAACTCCTCGGGGTAGTCTATTTTCTTCAACTGTTCGCATACACACGCGATTCTTACAAGCGAATAACTGTTAACTTTGTTTTGTCGATGCTTCTATCTTGGAAGTTTAGCGCAAGACCTCTTCCATGGTGCTTCAGACTTATCAAACCTTTGTCGCCTGTGAAGCTCGTGTCCAGTTTGGCGCACTCGCTCTTCCTCAGGGCTCCGTAAAAACTCATCAGTAGTGCCACTGCTTGCTTGTAATCTAGCTCTCCCATTCTGTAATATGTCATGATGTGCGCAGTTGTCAGTGGGGATTTTTGTTTCTTTCTACCTAAGAAACCGCGCCGCACAAGCGGCGCTAGTTCTTTATTTATAATTTCTTTCTCTTCACACGTCAGCTCACACCTCTGGTCGTTTAACACGTCTGCCACTGCTGGCTTCACACTCAAATACCCCGCTGCCAAGCTAGTACCTATAAACATGCGCACAGACCTGAAGGTCCATGGCTTCGGGGGTAGTTCTACAGCGATTTTCAGATATCTAGCCAGCCGAGAGGCTCTGTTTTCATCTGCTTTCTTTGTAGATGCCATTTCGTTCAAATTCCTCACCGCATCCTGCAGGAGACCCGGGTCCCTGGCGATGTCCAGCGCCAAAGCCGTCTTGGACTGGGCTTCCTTCTTTTCCACCGCTGTCCTGGCCGCAAAGACCTGCTCCGCGACCTCCTGTCCTTCCCTCATCCGTGCTGCAAACAGTTCCACCGGTATGTCCGTGCTCTCCGACCGCGTGAGCGGGCTGTCGCTCTTCCTGTACCACGAGAATTGCTTCGTGCCATCCGGGAAAATTTTCTCTACAAACCTGAGCCTCGCTAGCTCCTTGCTGAGATGCCACTGCTGCGCTTGATTCAAATACAACACACCCAAGTGCTGGGACTGCGGTGTTGGTTCTTCCAACTGCTTATGCGTAAAAAGATTCTTCGGTAAGGTTTTTGACTCGTGCAACATGCTGGCTGGTAATCTTTTCCCTTCCTCCGCGAATTTTCTCACAGTCTGCTCTGCCGCTTTTTCCCCTAGCGTCTTCTTGAGGTTGTCACACGTGCTCACGTTGGCCTTGGCCTGCTCTTCCATCTCCGCCTTCAACTCGGCCCAGAGATCATCTCCATTTTCTACAAACTCCATGGCGTGGGTGGGTGGGAAGAAAAAGCGCACGAGACGCTGACTCCACGGTCCAGCTACCCTTTCTATTTTGCTACAGCTACTCAATTTTTTACAAATACACATATTTTTCCACATTTCGACCGGTGAGCTGCTCCACTAGAAGCGCCGATCTCGTCCCTCGCCTGGTATTCTATTGCATCAGCGTCACATTTCTACACTGGGAATCACTTTACTACACTGGAGACATATGTGGCCGTCTGGTCCTATGAATCGCCGAGCGCAAACGCGCGCTGCCGAGAGCCATCGGGCAGCAAGCGCCGATCTTTTCCGCCGGAAATCGGGTGGGGTGGCCCTTTTTCCACCTCGCTCTCACTCGGAGAGGGTGCCGGCTGAGGCACATCACCAACACACCCCACCGCGCTCGACGATGAGTGCGTGAGGAGTCTGCAACTCGCGCTCTTTTTCTTTCTGCATTTCCCTGCTCCTGTTTCCGCTTACACACTCAGAAGTGGCATGGCGTGTGTCTACATGATCCTTGTCCGACGCGAAGCGCTGCTGCACAGGCAAGCCTGCGTAGCAGCACTCCGAGGTCGGTCGCATCCGGGCGAGCCCTTCTGCAACCTACCTGGCTGAACACCAACTGGAGCGAGCCGCCAGCGGGGTGATCACTACCGGAGTAGCGAACGACCGGCCCACTGTGCAGCAGCGCTTACGCCGACGAGGCTGAGTGCCATCCTAGCTCAAACCTCTTTGCCACAGATAGCTTGCATTCGACATACTGCATGTTTACCAGTGCCAACACGGCCGAAGCCTTTCTTCGCTTTGCCATCATCAAGTTGCTCCTGCGAGCTTTTGCCAACTAATACCAGCGCGCACTTGCGTGCTGTCACCTTTTTGCCAACTGTGCCAGCGTGCTCCTAAGAGCTTCCAACATGCCGCTACGCGCAGCTCTTGCCGACTATCTCCGCTGTCTTTCCTACTTGCCAATATGCCGCTTCTGATAAGCAAAGTCCGGCGCAGATACTGCCACTTCCACTTCCAACTGCGATTCTACATGCACATCGGACAAAGCGAACCAGAGCCGCTCCCTCCGTGCGGCTACGCACACAGAAATCCAACAAAGTGGAGGGCACGACGCCTGCTGTGGGCACGGTCGGCGAAACCGTGAGACCAGAAAGAAAAAGCGCGCGAGACGCTGACTCCACGGCCCAGCTACCCTTTCTATTTTGCTACAGCTACTTAATTTTTTACAAATGCACACACTTTTCCACATTTCGACCGGTGAGCTGCTCCACTAGAAGCGCCGATCTCGTCCCTCGCCTGGTATGGCTAAAGTTGCAAAGTGTGGCCTATTTAGAAAGAAAAGTAGCAATATTATGCGCATTTGCATACGAATGCTGTGCGATCAGGCCACGCAAGGCGCATTGTAACAAAGTGGGCCACGGTCACCTTGTGGTGGCGGCCGTGGCGCCACATTGTGGCCCTATAATTTTGGGCCACGGTCACCTTGTGGTGGCGGCCGTGGCGCCACATTGTGGCCCTATAGTGAAATTATAGCGAGCTGGTCGAGCTTTCTGGTGTTTGTAGCCTTCTAGTCTATCGAGAGTGTCGGTAGATGGTCCACCTGGAGGGTATCTGGTCGAGGGTCGGAGCCCAGTAGAGAGGTCAGCACACAGAGGAGGCTACTGCCTTGCTGTTGATGTCGATGATGGATGATGGATGCCGATTGATGGATGCTTGTTGATGGACTCTCATCCTGTTTGTGTACTAGTTTGGGTCTATTCTATACCGATTGCGATCGATCTGCCCCACGCGGATGTGGGTTGCTTAGCCGGTGGGGGCGTGTGTTCCATCGTCTCGCTCTACCGAGCTACATGCGGTTCCGCCTACCCTCTTTCAAAGAAAGACTTTTTATTTGTAACCTCATATGTACTTCCTGCACGCGGTTAAGCAGTTCTATATTTTGGTGAAACTCCAAGAGTGTTGGAGTTTGTCATGCGTTTCGACATAGTTTCGGGAGTATCTTCATAAGGCATTTGACCTCCGTCACCGTTTCCAACTAGCCACGCGCGCAGACCACTAGTGGTGGGCAGTAAAACGCCAATCCTGGTGCTGCTGGCGTCTAGAGAATCTCGAGGGCAGTTTCTTATGTTTCTGGTTTCGTAAATATCGAGGACATTGTTATTGGTTTAGTTTACTTCAGTTTTTATTTTTCGGTGGGCATAGGCCGGTAGGTCCGGTAGGCCGGTAGGTCCGGGTGCCCAAGCGTGCTACTGAGGACTCCAGTGTATACAGCCCGAGTTTACATATCGCGGGGGCTGGGGTCGACGTCCCTCCAGGTGAGATAGTGCGTAAGGGTTTTGGCACTATTTTTCGCGCTTACTACATCTAGCCTTTACTACCTATTCGCAGCGGTGTGCGATGCTTTTATTTTTCATTCGCTCCTTCCCTAGCGCTTACAAATTTGCTTTTCGGCTCAGCTGATGCTGGAGCAGCGTGCTTTTTTTGCTTCGCCGGCGGGCAGTAGACCTATTTTTGGGAAGGGGGGTATAACAAAGTGGGCCACGGTCACCTTGTGGTGGCGGCCGTGGCGCCACATTGTGGCCCTATAGTGAAATTATAGCGAGCTGGTCGAGCTTTCTGGTGTTTGTAGCCTTCTAGTCTATCGAGAGTGTCGGTAGATGGTCCACCTGGAGGGTATCTGGTCGAGGGTCGGAGCCCAGTAGAGAGGTCAGCACACAGAGGAGGCTACTGCCTTGCTGTTGATGTCGATGATGGATGATGGATGCCGATTGATGGATGCTTGTTGATGGACTCTCGTCCTGTTTGTGTACTAGTTTGGGTCTATTCTATACCGATTGCGATCGATCTGCCCCACGCGGATGTGGGTTGCTTAGCCGGTGGGGGCGTGTGTTCCATCGTCTCCCCCCACCGGATTTAACACATTGGTTTCTCGCAGCCACAAAGCGGAAGGCGTTTCTGTATCTTAGCCAAATGATCTTGCACATTTATCAGTCGGGATCACAAGGTCTGTACCGTTTGCCAGTAGCGACTGCAAAATCTGACGCGTTTGCCAATACTGGTCACAGAATATGACGCGTCAACTGGTCGCGATCCCGCGCGCTTATACCGTAGCCAGTAAACAGGGAACGACTCAGCCTCTAGACCGCCCGAAATCCCGGAGGACTTCCATAACTAAAGGCATACCGTGGCACGAAACGCAAAAAAGTCGCGAAGGCGGAGGCGCCTCCGGAAGCCTTGCTCAGGCCCATATCTGCGCACCACTCCGGCCCGCGGCCCTCCGCCCCCCTAGTGGGCCCGCCCGTGGTCCGGGGCGCTGCAAATAAGCGCGCTGCAGCCGCCGCTTGCACAAGCAGGCCCGGCGGCCCGCCATCCGATCCAGGCCGGGGGCCCCCATCCAGTGCTGACTAAGAGCCACCGCCCAGGTTCGGACACGTCTGGGCATTGGCAAGAAGTGCGACCGCGGACGTTTTGAAACAGATCGCGCCAGGTGGTCCCAAGGTGCGCACTGCTTCGCTTTCTCGGGATGTCCTGTTCTGGAATGATCTTCAGAATTTCAGGTAGCTGGACCATTAAAGGGAGCCAATAGCCCCGCCGGGCACATTCGTGCAGTGCGCCGGAATTCCATTACTGCGCCACCGTGGACCACGTTGCAGGAGCTGCGACATTTGCTTCAAGTTGCTTCCTGCGGCCGCTTCCGTAACTTGAGCGCCGGCGGACGCCGTGGTGCCGTGGTGCCCCTCCTTATTCACCACCAGCGGAATCCTCGAGCGCACCCAGCGGGGGCCCGCTAGTGTTCTTCCACGTCTGAAGGCGCCGCGGCGATTCTTTCGCACAGGCTAGTCCTGCGGCTTTCGTGGGGACTGTTCCACCCCGCCGCGCTCCCCGGGGCTCCCGGAAAGGAAGGCCGGCAATTACTGTTCCCCGCATACTGTCCCGAGTAGCACTCTGCAACGGCGCGTAGCTGCGCCGCGCGTTCCGCATCGCCATGCCAATGGGGCACGGACATCCACCAAACTGGTGCGCCCGCACACCGCGCCTTTTTCTCTTCTTGGCTGCCGGCGCCGCCGCCGCGGGTTTTTTCCGCAGTGCGCCGGCCGCGGCATCCTACGACCCTTTGCCGGCCCCGCCCACGATCCGCATCATTGGCGGCCCGCACGGTGGCGAGCTCTGCTACCCGCCGCCACCCGCGTGCCGGCCTAACGTCGGCGCCGCGGCGCTTTTCCCCCCGCCGCAGGCAAGCACCACCGCAAGGAACGTGGCACGCCCCCCGGAGCAGGGTAGAGGACGGAGCCGCGCCGCGCCGCCTGGCGCAGTGCTTGCTCTCGAGGCCGGAGTGGCATTGTTTCTGGTGGTCACGGTTTTCTACGTCCCCTGGAACGAATACGTCCTGGACCACCCCGCGGCACCCCCGTGGCCGCCGCCACCGGACGTCAATTCCTGTCCGGCCGCCTGCTCGCAATTTTCCGATGATGTCGAGAATGCCTATGATTCGCGCTCCTGCCTGCTGCCCGAGCACCACCTTTTTGACGTCTCGCCGGAGGTGCAGAACGCGGCCTGCATGCGTCGCGGCGATCTTCGGATGCCACAGGAGAATACTCCCCGGGAGGAGCTCTATCAAAAAGAACCTTCCTGCTCCGACGCGGCGACGCTCTTCCGCGACAGCAGTAGCATGCCTGCCTCTGCGTTCGTCGCTCCGCCGGTGGTGCAGCAGGAGGACCACAGTATAGAAATCGAGCGGCGCGCCTCAGTATCTTGCAATCGCGACTTGCGAGCCGTCTGGAGCTGGGGCTTGCAGTTCACGCTCGGACGGGAATTACAGAAGAAGAAGCCGCGCGGGGGACAACAAGAAGGTGGTCCACTACCGTTGCAAGAAACGATCGCAGTTCCGGACCGGTTGCCCGCCGCTGCCGTACAAAAGGCCATTGTCGAGGCCTACACCATGACGCACACGCAGATGGGCGACGACGTGTGTTTTGGTGGTTTCAACACTGCGGAACGCCTGCACCTGCGCGGGACGGAAGTCGAACAGGAGAATATCGTCGCCAGGCTTCAGGGGACTGTATGGGAGAGGGAATAAACGTGCAGCGTCTGTAAAAGTTGCTATGAAATAACCGCCGGCAATATGCCGAGTTGGCTTCTTCTACCGGGCACCGCGCGGGTTAGAAGTCTGTCGCAGAAATACTTCGGCCTGCGTGATACCTTGGGTCCCCGTGCTGCCCATGTGAGCGCGTTGGGCCGCTCACTTGTTTAGCCATGCTGTTCTAGTATCAAACCGGCACGCGCATCTACACACTACCTGTGCTACGCAGGACTTCAAACTTTGGCGCGACGCTTTTCCCCATTTTCATACCGCGACTGCGGACCTGTGCTCTACGAGGAAATCGGCCGTGCAATGACAAAACTTCCTGCCCCTCCGCCCGGAGTAGGAAGCGCAGACGCAGACGGCCAGCACGCCGGAAAGAAACGACCACGCGCCCAGAACCTCGGCGTCGTCATCTACACGCTCCGCGAGATGCTGCGCCAGCGCAACGCGGATGCGTCCGTTTTACTGCAGAAAAGCACCAAGCGCGCATGGGACAAGAACCTGCACTGGGTGGACGCACTGCTCGGAAGCAAGAACGGTTTCTGGCAAAGAGCGGAAGTGGTCTCGTCTGTTGTTGGCGCCGAAAGAACTACTGCTTCGACGCGAGGACCCTCTAGTACTTCTGGAGGTACAACAAGGTGGGGAAAAATATCGGCGCCGGGCAGCGCCGGTTTTTCTTCCACCGCAAAACGAAATTTCTACGTGCTGTGCCGTGGTATGTTTATCGGCGACGATGACCCGGTCTCCTACTTGCGCCGCAACTTCTTCGAGTGGCAGTCGGACACGAAACGAATCACGAGGGCGCTTTATCCGGATTAAAAATGTCCCCACACCAGAGTCAAGATGGAAAATCTGCTAGACAAATCCACCAGCTTCGGTCGTTTGGCATGATGGGATCCTGTTTAGCTAGTTCAGAAGCATCACAGATGTAGCATAGCATTCTGATTCCAGCATCACAAATTCCAAAACAATGTCGGTGCGGTTGTTTTAGCATCACAAATTCCAAAACACGAGTAGAAAACGCTTCTCGTAGGGCTCCGGCGCATGAGAAACTTTCTTAGCATGCAGAATTGCATGACAACTATGGGACCCACCTTCCCTGCGTGACAGCCATCTGCGGCCGTTTGCACAGGGGGAGGCAAAGTGTGTCGCACTTCTGTTTAGCATGACAACTATGGGACGGCGCGGGGACGTTTTTACACGGGATACGCTCTTCGCCCGAGACGTGCCGCGAGTGCAGTTCCAGCTGGAGGATTTTTGGTCGACGACGGTCTCGCGCACGGTGGCGGAAGGTGTATTCGCGCGCGCGGGTTTGGCGGATGTGCTGCGGCCGGGGCTGTCGGTCCTGTGGAAAATTCTGGTCCCAACGGGGGAGGATGCGGAATTTGTGCTGCAGTATCCGAACGCTATCGGGGAAAATGATTTTTACCGGCCCGCCGCGATCCCGGACCGAATTGGGTCCACGGACAACGAGGGCGAAATTCTGTGGCCGGACCGCTCGGTATCGACCGGGGAGGGGGGAAATTTTTTGTCATGCGATCAGGGATTGCGAATGTGGCCAGGCAGGACAAATAACGATATGCATAGATGTGGGAGGAGGTGTACTTATCTCTGCGACCTAGTGTTTGTGGCGGTATGAGCATGTGAAAGCGGTTGTACGCGGTCCGGTATGCTATAATTGTACACACGAGCGGCAATCGAAGGAACAGCTTGGAGTTGCTGCGAACAGCTTTGATTACTTGATGAAGGATTCCACTTCATAATTAATTCTGGCTTCGAATGACAAAAATTTTCCCAATGGATGCAAAATCTTCGAGGTGGTCGAGGTGAGGCATTTATGATCAGGAAAAAGTGTAGACTTTCGTTTTCCCTATTGTTCATCTGTTCAGAGTTTGTGATGTATTTTCATGTATGCAGTGCAGCGTATGGGCAGCGCGACAATCTATCATCACAGAATGTTACAACTAGGTAACCAGCACCACAAGTCGAAGAGATGAATTACGGGGAAAACAAAGGTTACTCCTTCACAACAGCGAAGGTACCACTTTTGGGAGGTGACAATCTTGCTAAAGAAGCTGCCGCGGGCTGGAGAGTGAGAACCAGCAGTGCTATCAATCGCAGTTCGTCTGCTCTTTCGAGGAACATCGCGATCTTTTTGTTTTTTGGAAATGAAAATCACATTACTGCTACTTGAGAATATAGCATGGGACGACGCCGTCCATGTAGCAAGTTAATTTTTGGTTTACGGCACAGCCGGTCGGCAAAAAATGTAAACTGTCGCACAGGCTCGTAAAAATTACTTTGCATGTAGCCGGGACGAGTCTGTCTGTTATTAATCATGTGGAGCATTGCTCCACGACGATACCTTCATCCGAAATGTACACCGAGGTTGTCTTATCCAGAAAGCCATCTGAATTTTGAAAGCATAAGTTGCAAACCGAGTGAGGCAAGAACAAGCCTCGATTTACTTACCACACGATGAGAGCTTGCTGTCGTGGTGTATGGTTAGAGAACATTTGTTAAGCTGTTCTCAAGCGTCGACCTAATGAAGAGTTTTGCACAGAGAGAGGCGAGTTTCATAGAAAGGAGAGAAAAGAACGAGGTTGGATGCAGAGCGATAGCACAATGGTGGACAAGTCTCATGCAGTAGTAGACGCCACAACAGTTATTTTGAAAACCGAGGTTGTTGTATTTACAAAAAAGTAGCCGTCACGACGAGCGGAACATCTGATGCATGAGAGAAATGCTGAAAAGAGTCCAGATATCTGAGGTGTGGTACGATGTGAGGCTGAGCGAGAGCGAGAGGCAAGAGCATTTTAGTAGTTTTTGACACCCGCAAAAAAAGCCACTAAATCGGGCAGTATTTTAGTTACGCTTACGCAAGCAGGAACTATTGTCGATATCGACATGAATCTCTCAAGGGAACAAAAGAACGAGTGTTGGCCAAAACACAGAGTCCCCTCGGATTCGGCAAAGAAGTGACCAAACGTCGATAAAATCCAAAAATTAATTCGCTTATGTTCTAGTAGGACAAGCACAAGGTTGAATAAAGATTTCAAGCAGAGAAAAAGCATATACCCGGTAGAAGTACGACTTGTGAAAGATGTCGTCGGCCTCCGGGCAAGAGGGGTTCGCCCCGCCCTCCGCGAACGAGCGGGTATCAAATGCAAAAATGTCTGGGTCTGGAACAAAGCAACTTGTCATGCTAAATCTGAATCATGTAAAAATCTGTGCTGCATGATTACCAAAAGCTGTCCACTATTCGAGAGGCAGTCTCTCATGCAGGATAGGCATGATAGAACTCTCGCAGAATCTGTCTTCATGCTATGCCCTACATACCAGACCTCATGGGTCATGGAAAACCTGCATGACAAGTCTGGCACTCTTCCAGACCCAGACATTTTTGCAGTTGATAGCGGCAGGGTGGGTTCGATTCTGCCGAAAACGCGAAAGACCTCGATCGAGACCAGCTTTTGAAAATTTTCAAGCACTTCGATTCCGATGGCTCAGGCTCGATCGATGTGGACGAGTTGCGAGACGCGATGCAGGCCCTGGGGATCAAAGTCACCATGGCCAGCGCAAAAAAGATCATGGCGACCATCGATGCGGACGGAAACGGTATAAGAATGTGACTTTGATGTTCGAACGGTAGTTGCATGGCATCGCGCATGAATTGTTTGTAAGTACCTTTTTCATGCACGGCTGCGCTTGTATGTTCACAAAGATCTGAGTTTATATGGATGTCTGTACTTCCACTTACGAGACATCATTAAAAAAACTCGACAATAGGAACCGTTGAGTGGGAGGAGTTCGAAACGTTTTTATGCATTGCAAATCCATCTAGGTCTGGAACCTTGTCATGCTATAATGTGAGTTGCAAGCGCTAGCGCAAGATCAGCACACAGGTACGCATCAAAAAGTTTCTCGCTGCGATGCGGTGCCTACTCAGCATGAAAAATTGCAGTTTTGCACGACGAAGAAGTCTTCCTTTTTCGCAACATGCATGACAGAATGGGCTGCTCGCTTTCTAGCCGAGCATTGCATAATTTTATTCCTAGACCAAGTGAAGATAGAATTTGCAATGGATATCTTTTCGAGAAGTGCAAAAACCCAGAGGAGATCCGATCCCTGTTATCCGCACAGAATGCCAAGTATCTGGACTACAAAATGATGGTCGAATATGAAAGCGTCAGGTTTGAAATCGACAAAGTTGAAATGATTTGTCATGCATATAAATGGATACCAGTTGGAAGACCAATTTCCATGCGGCGCATGACAAATTTTCGGAGCATCGGAATCCAATTTGTCATGCTGTTTGGGCACAGGAGACTGCTTTTGTCATGCTCCTTTAGCAGCTCTATCCCAAACCCTAAAGAGGCTCACAATCTACCCCACTTGCCATCCCGGCAAGACAGGCACTTTATGCCTTGCATTTTATGCATGACAAATCATTTCAACTTTGACGATTTCAATCCTGACAGGTCCATATCGAAGGCGACCCCAACTTCGGGAAACGATTTTTCGTCCCGTCAAGCAGAGACAAAAAATTCAAGTTTTCGGTACAGAAATTTAGATGCTTTTTGCATGCTTGTATGTTGATTGTCTCAAGTATAATATACTCTTCGAGCATGATGGCGTAGAAATTTTGTAAGCGCAAAGTAGGAACGGCATCAAGCGCTGAAGACGACGACCAGTATCTATAATGATGTTGATGAAATTGTACCAAAAACAGGGCCACGAGGACAACGTTGAGGACGTAAAGTGGATAGACGCCAAGGGAAATTTTTTCGTGACAGGCAGTATCGTATCAGCTGCAAAAATGTCTGGGTCTGGAAGAGTGCCAGACTTGTCATGCAGTTTTTCCATGACCCATGAGGTCTGGCATGTAGGACATAGCATGACAGATTCTGTGAGAGTTCTATCATACCTATCCTGCATAAGAAACTGCCTCTCGATTAGGTCAAAAGTGGACACTTTTTGGTGATCATGCAACACAGCTTTTTACATGATTCAGACTTAGCATGACAAGTTGCTTTGTTCCAGACCCAGACACTTTTGCATTTGATATATCGACGGGTCCATCCGAGTGTGGGATTCAACAACCGGTACTACTACGGTGAATCTTCTTCGTTGGCATGCTGCAATACGAACTGTTGTCACCACGAAACACAGGGCAAGATTGAAATAGCGTTCTTGTTCCACTTCCTTTCTTCTCCATACCTGATTGAAAACTATGCAAGTGCGCTCCTACTGCCAATTATGACAGAAGGGATGGCACACCAAAAAAACAACAACAAAAAACAGGTAAGCTCTCGCATAAGCTGATAGAGGACATAGCGGGCGGGGTGTACTGCATGAATGTATTTAACGCGGGGGAAAGACTTCTGTGCGGGCTCGGCGGCAAGGAAGACAACATTGGACTCTTCGATATGACAAAACGAGGTAAATTCTAGCAAATTTCGCCGAGTTCGTCGATGAACACCGTGAAGAGTTTTTTTGTGTGAAGATGGATTTTTTGCAGGCGACAAGACAAATGAGTAATGTTGCGTAAAAAAATATTGTCCACTTCTACACGCGAAAAGAGGAAAAAAAGATCCGCTATCGTGACATACAGGCGCGGAGTCCAGGGTAATGTCGTACGCCGGACCGCCAGCCCCCGTGTACGCGGTGTGTGCCGAGAAGCTGAAGCAGCCCGCATACTTCCTCGCCGGGGCCAAAAATGGCCACATGGGGTGGTACGACCTCACGCGCAAAGAGCCCGTGATATCAATGACCAATTTCCACGAAGGTATGAAATATTGATTGATGCTGTCGTGGTCCGAGATGGAGAGGAAAAACACGCACAATTTTTGAAGATTGGTTATACACAGAAAGAAAAAAAAATTATGCCATCGATTCCAACTACTGTTCACCTTTCTCCCAGGTGTGGTGTATTCAACGGACCTGAATAAGGAGGGCAACATGATGATTTCCACGTCGCAGGACGGGTTGCTGCAGATCGCGGACTTCCGCGGCGGATTAGAGTGGAAAATCAACCACACCGTGGAGGAGGCCGCGGCATCGGGCATCTGCTTTAAAGCGCTCTTTCGTGGGGACCGGGAATTTGTGTCCTGTGGGGACGGTACTTTTGAATATACAACAACGTTGTTGAGGAAAAACTACTACGTACTTTTTACACGCAGTTCTTCTTCTGACATCATGAAAGATTACCACCGAACCAAAAACCCCAAAATAAAGATCGCCTTATTTGAGGGCGCCGCGACGATGAAAATAATGAACCAAGTACCTATCACAACTTTTCAGATTACTGTGTGAAGAAGTGGGACTTGCGACAACTGAAGAAGGGGCCGGTCGAGAACTTCCTCGGTGTGACGTCACCAATACGAGAAATGTGCATGTCCCCGTGCGAGAAATACTTAGTCTCTGCGTCCGCGGACGGTTGCATCCGGGTGTGGGTCATCGACGAACGAGAATACATCGACGCAGACATCGAGCAGTGCGGCAGGACCATCCAAAACCTAGAGAAGAAGCGCGCGGCCTGGGACGCAAAACTGCAGGAGGGCGACGACGTGGAGGAAGAGGAGCTCCGATCTTGCGTAATTTTTAACGGATTTCCTTGTTGTTCCTTGTTCTTTTTTCAACTGAACATCTGATGCGCGTTTACATGTTTCTCATGCTGCAGGACTAGCTTCACACAAAAACAATTTTCATCACGTCAACATATGTACTTATTCAAAACCTCAGATTATGGAGCTGGAAAAGGCCTACGTGCGGGGTATTTCCGTTTCACAAGCCGAAAACGAGCGGTACGCCATGAATTGCGTCCAGGCACGGATAGGGTTGGACGGCCACACTATCAAAAGGAAAAATCCACCCACTCCATATCGAAAACGAAATTTGTGTTGCTGTATTTGAGTACACAAATCGTTGGGTATTGCTAGAAGGCCAAGAGGCGCAGTTGCTCCCTCGTTTGGAGGCAATTTGTCATGCGATTTCCCGTTTCCACTTGCTTCCTGTCATGCTGAAGACGCAAGGCGTCCCTGCGCCAGCCAGCACTACAGTCCGCATCCCTTCCCTTCTAGCATCACAAAGCTGATTTGTGGCCACAAATCTGCATCACAGATTTCCGTTTTGGTATGGGAGGGGGCATTTTTCATTGCAATACACACCCTCCCAGTCACGTCATGCTGCTGGCGAGACCACCCGACGGAACAGGGGCGCGTGCAGATCTTGAGTGGTATAGTAAATTTATCATTGTCGTGCGGGATTTAGATTTACAAGGCAGTAGAGTTTTGCGATGCGGAATTGCATAACCAACAAACTACAAGCGTCGTGGTTCAATATGTCTGTGTGTACCATCATGTTGAAAACAACTTACAGGTTCCCAGGATCAGTCTGCGTTGCTGTTCGACATCAAGAAACCCAACCCAAACCATATGGCTTGCTCAGGTGTTACAATTTCAATTGTTATCATGAAAGCGGAAACTTGTCATGCAAAAGCTGCACAACCTAGTAGCCTATGCCTAACCCCACACGAAAGCGCATGACAAGTTCGGGAGCTGCTCTGAACTGCACCTAGCCTGATCCGGCTAAGCATTTGTATTGCTGAGCGCGCAACAAGTCTCTCGAGGGTCATTGCGTTTATGCAAGACTACGCACTTCATCGCAACAGTTGAGATTCGAACCTCTGAGCAGGTTATAAACCACTACATCAAGTGGGGCACTGGCGGCGGCGACGACGCTACCAAAGGGAAAAATCCCCCCTCCCCATATCGAAACGAAGTTTCTGATGCTGGATTTGCGTATACAAATCAGGTCTGTCTTGCTGGAGAGGACTGCAGGCATATGCCAAGCCTGGGTCGAGAGGTTTTGACGTAGGGGACTAGCATGACAGACGTCGGCTCTGTAAGCCCAACAGCATCACAAACCGCCGGCATAATGTGGCGGAATCTCTGGCTTTGCCTTCTTGCAAGACAGACAGGATTTGTGACCTTAAATCTGCATCACAAATTTTCAGACGAATGCGTTTTCAATATGGGGAGGGGGGATTTTTCCTCACAATAGACGCCGGCAGCCCCAGCGCCAAGCCAGGCTACGGCTAAGGAGTTTGTGGTGAAGTCGATAAATGTGTGACGACTACAAGAAAATGTGATCGAGGAAAAGAAAAAGGTTCAACCCGGAAACAGATATGGTGCAATTGCCTGTGTGGCAGCATGCTGCACCCGTTTGGGGTGGTCTTTTTCAATTCTCGTCGTCGTAGGTGTTGTCACCGATTCATTTTGTTTCATCCAGAAAGTGTAAACTTGTATCAAAGCGTATGAACAACAAATACTAGACGAAGCAGTGGTCTCGAAGTTGTAGAGAGACCACGGCTTGTTTCTTCTGGTCCCAGTGAAATACCCCAATATATTGCTGTTGACATTATTTCTACCTGGTTTCCTCTCCAAAATCGTGTTTTATTCATAGAATCAGATAAACACCTCGTCGCTGGTAAGAGGCAGGAGATAAAGTGCTGAGCTAAACATAAACTGCCAGGCAAAATAAGGTTGCAGAGGGCAGTACAACATCAGCAAGAAGATAGGAGGTAGAGACCCCTGCGCAGTAGCAGGCAAACACTCCAGCCACAGAAGCTGTCAGACGAGATCAGCAGCTGAGCCACATGTAGAAGTGGACCTCGTATTAAACGGACCTACAGCTAGCGAACTGATGTGCGATCATCTAGACTAGACCATAGAATTCTTCGAACTTAATATGCAACACCGTCGAAGTTTTTACAACTGATTTTTTTCCAGATAATGACGGATGCACCTCGGTGCATCATTTTCGACTAAGAGATGACACGCGACGAATATGTAGTATGGGCTAGCAAATCCCTTGGAAGCAACTGCATGGTGTTCCGGCTGGACCCTTCCATGATGGAAGGGGGCTGGACCGTTCGAATTTTTTCACAAAATTCCGTTTTGGCTTTTCCACCGATGTGGATTGAGGTGTGCTGGCTGGCACTGGAAATGATTCTCTATCACCGTGCCACGGATAGTCTTTCCTGTGAGTGTAGCTGAGCCCCTTGGGGGCCTCCGTGGTGGTATAGCCTTGTTGGGTCTAGCTATTTCTGCTAGCGGGTTACCAATTTTTGGACCGGGTTTTGGGGGGCCAGTCGTCTTCTGAATACCGATCGGCTTCTGCGGCCTTACATCTCTTGCTTGGCTCTAGGCAATGGCGGTTTGAACCCGTTACCCTACGACTAAGGAGGAGCGTTTGGTCCGGTTTGTGTTTTGCCTCTGCTTGCCAGAGTCGGGCTTGTGGATGTAAGGCCGGCTTACTAGTATGTAGCCTGGTTTGTAAGTATTGGCACTACCCAACGGTCCGCAAATTATTTCTCTGATCGGCCGTTCTCCGTTCTGAAATCTGGAATTGGGTCCAAGGGTTCCAAAAATTTTCCTGGTCAGCCTTGCTGTCTTCGACTAGCCCGCACAAATTCGTGTGTGGGCGCTGTTTTTATTTTCCATCTTTCGCAACCTGTTCCTCCCCGTACAGGCTGGCTGTTGAGAGGAGTTGTGCTGATTTGTGCGAATTTAGTGTGTCTGAGACGTACCTTTCCTCTACTCGATCTGGAAGCGCCTCTCCTGGGGCTACTAGTGTGATTCCCCCTTTCACTTGAATTTTAGCTCTAGCATTTTCCAGAATGCCGGTATCTTTTCTTGACGGACATCCAAATGCTTTGCGAACTCCGGGTGCTAGTGGGGCGGGCCCACAAGCTTCGCATGTTAGGACGTGGCAGAAGTTTAGGGCGGAGCAAGGCCCGTGGCTCTTTGTGGTCCGTCAGGCACTGTTGCTGTTTCCCCCGTCAGCGGGGCCGTTTTTGGTGAGATGTTGGTAGGTGTGGATGCCACTCTACTCGTTGAAGACGTCTCGATATTATGCTAGTGCCACTAAGCTGCTGATCCACATGCCGTAGGGGTAGTAGACTCTTTAGCTGCCTTGCCGTTTGCGGTAGACCTAGGCTTTTGCTTCGGGAAGTGTTCGATTTCTGACCGCGCAAGCAAATAGAGATCGAAATTTGGAAATCCTCTTACTTCTTGTCGAGGGGGCCGTCGACGAAACAGGTCTTCCGCCGAAGATGCAACACCGTCGAAATTTTTACAACTGATTTTTTTCCAGATAATATCACACAAAAGGTACTATTAACAGTGAACCCGAATACAATAAACAATTACAACCGTGCGGGTACTTCTAAACCGACGAAATTCTGGAACAGAAGCTAATGCTACAACCGAAACTAGGGCGGGACCGCGTTCCACGTCTTGATGTTTCGCGATATGAAAAAATGCCAACTACTAGAAAGAGTCTGTCATTGGACAGGTAGGGCTTTGTTCTTGCGGATTGCAAAAGGAAGCGTTTGGAAGAATTTTTGCGTTTTGAATATTCGTGATGGAATGATGTCGTGTAATTCGGTTTGGTTTGTGGCAATAACAACGAGCATCTATTCATCTGTCGTGGCTGGAATCGTAGGGAAGCGCGATCGTCTGTCGTAATGAAGCAACGGGGCAGCAGGACAACTTTCAAGGAAGAATCACATTTGATATTTCATGTTTCATAAGCAGTCGACACTTCGTAGAGGGCAACGTGGCCGCGTTTTGAATGACCAAGTCCAGAAGTTTTATTTCGTGTACAACAAAGTTGCTAGGAATTTGATACGTATCTGTTTTTTGTGGCAGTAGGTTATGCGCTTGTTTCAAGAGCACTATCACTATGCTGCTGCGTGAGAACTGAAATTGGGAGATTTTTGCTTTGCTGATTTCCACGGTTACTTCTTGCAAAAGCTAAAAAATGGCCTTGTTTCGTCCGTCGAAGATACTGAAAACGGCCCGCCTCGTACCTGTGCACGACCAGAGCCGGCGGCACTTTTTCCTGTCTCTCGTGTGTGGGCTGAGGGCCGCGAGGAGCCAAGACGTTGACGCGGGCACACGGGAGTGGAGAAAAACGGTGGAGGAGTACTATTCTTCTTCTACTTCGAAATCTATTGGCACAAAACATAGCCGTGTCGTCGGTGGTGTTCGCCCAGGCGACGAGAACGAAGGCATGCCAGCATCACAAACACGCCCTTTCGGCGCACTGGAATCGGATCGGAGAAAATCGCGGAGTGAGAGCGCTGGTCGTGGTGCCACCGCTTTTGTGGACCAGGAGAAGCGACTTCTAGAGGATCAGGCAGCAGAGGAACCACCTGCGCAAGGAAATGTCCTGGGTCCAAAAGCCACCTCCCTCCTGGAAGAGGCCACGGGACGTCGCAAAGTGGAACGCGAGGAGAGGATCGGCACAGAAAAGCTAAACTGGGGGCACGGGGGGCACGGTCACGGTCACAGTCACGGCTCCCTGCACGGTCACGCGTACCGACACGGTCACGGCTACCTGGGAAGTAGTACAACTCAAGACGAAGTGAACAATTTTGACACCGACCACGACCCGGACGAGCCCTGTTGCTTCGTGTATGACCCCGGTCTGCGGTACAGCAACGTGAACAAGCAGGGAGAGGAGGTCGACGCCTACTACCTGCGCGAGACCGTCCCGAGCCTGGATGCGGTCGAGAGCACGGGACCGAAGTACCTGGCCCTCCCGAATTGCGATGCCTACGGCGAGCGAGACCTCTCGTCGCGCGGCGACCACGACCCGCTAGACGACCTGCTCCCCGACGGCGTCGAGCTGCCGGCCAAGTTCGTCGGGCGCAAGCCCCGGGGGTGCCCCGTTTCGGACAAGGACGCCATGCAGTGGCTGATGCACTCGCTGAACGAGCAGGCGTTTGTGTTCGACCGCCTGGAAGTGTGGTCCAAGCACGCGGACCACATCTTCATGGCGCTGGAACGGGAAGTGGTCAATGACAGCGCGGGGGTCTGCTGCTTCGTGTACGTGCACAACCTGCACATGCTCGCCGGGAGTTCGAGCGACCACGACCCGCGTTCCCCCGCGCTCCACGAGCAAGAGAAGAAAGCCACCTCGGGTTCCGCGTGGCAGATTCCATGCAGCGCCGTGGCCGTTTTGGGGGGCCCCGAGTGGACGCCCTTCGGGGGGATCGGCTACCAGCACCGGTTTGCCGGCGAAGGCCACTGTCCGCAAACCTTCGAGGAGGCCGGGCGAGCGCTGATCGCGCTGACGGCCCGCGTGCCGGGCGAATTCGACTTTTTGCGGCACCGAAACTTCCGCGAGTCGTTGGAGGAGAGTGGGCCGCATTACTACTACAGCAGCAGCACCGATGATGAAGATGTAGAGATTGAGGAGCAAGAATTTGATGCGGCTTCCAAGGACGAGCTGGATTACGAGGGTGTGGAGGTTGTGCACAACGTCACCCGCGAAACGCAACACTTGCGCACGCCCAAAGGCGACAAAGGGACCAGCATATCGCTCCGGATTGCGACGCGAGAGAAGGTGGCTCCGGAGCTGGCGGTGCGGAAGGAAGCCCGGCTGCGCGTACAGTTGAAGCGCCCCCTGGACTCCCGGATCTACGGGCACTTGCTAGGCACGACGGGAAACCGAGGTCCGTACGAGATTTATTCTTCCGTACGGAACATCAAAAGCGCGGCGAGCGGAGAAGATGTTGATCATGCCGGTCTAGCGCCGCTGCCGCGTCCCGTGCCGTTGGCGATTCCCGACCACGACCGCGCGGTGGAGGAGAATCCCAATCCCTACAATGACCGCATCACTTTACCCATTAGTCACATCGAGCGGGAGCAGCAAAGGCTCTGCGAGGTGGTCAAGTACGGCATCGAGTACGACGACCAGCATTTCGCGCCTTTTGTGGACGAAGCCGCCGGCTGGCAATTCGGGAGCTCGTCGGGGTGCGTGGAAGACTGTCGCGCGAAGTGCTTCGAAACCCACGGCTGCACCCACTGGACCTTCATCGCGTGGGATTGGACCCCGAAAACATTTTTCAGCGACTTGAGCACGCCGTTGCAGAACTGCTTCCTGAAGAGGTTCGCACCCGACGAGTTTGGGGATTGGGGGCATCTGCGGCACCGGGAAAGCGAAGTCTTTGCGTACGACAGGTTCCGGGACGGGGGCATCGAGTTGCAGCGCAACTTCGAGTATCAAATGTAAAAGTGTCTGGGTCGGGAAACTTGTGATGCTGGGTGGCGGCTCATGATGAGGCTACGAATACTGGCTCAGCATGACAAGTTTCTGAGCTCCTAGGTGTTGCCTATTCTGCATGACAAACTGCAGCGCTGCATCACAGAAAAACGGAGCTCTTGGGTAACGTGCATGACAGATTCAAGAGCCATGCCAGACAAGCATGACAAACATGAATTCTTCCAGACCCAGACACTTTTACAGTTGATATCGAGACTACTCCCATAGCTGCCAAGGAGCAGGACCCGCTCCTGGTCGGGGTCGAGGACGAAACGCTGCACGGCATCTACCTGAACCCCAACCACCGAAGCGCCTCGGGGGTGAGTTGCAAGCCGTACACCTACAACGCGGGGGTGTACAAAAAGAATGCGCTGATCGGTAAGCGGCAGCGCCAGCAGCTGATTCCCCACGGCTTCCCGTTCGACAGTATACCCTTCCCGGAGATCGAGCACCGCCTCGACTTGAACTTCGTCCGTTTCAAGTATTGGCTCAACAACCAAGCGGTGGAGGCCTTGCAGCCCGGGCTGGTCGCGGATCATGTGGGAGGAGCATCAGCGCCAGCGTCTGTTTTGGAAAACGCAAAAATGTTGCCATCTTCGGCATTTCTGGCACGGGATACCCCAAGCGCAAAAAACAACTACTGGCGGTTCTCCCATCGCGAAGCGCCCACGCCGGAGCTTCATGCCATCAAGCGCCGGCAAAGATGCAGCTTTTGCATGACAAATTCCTAGGTGATTGTAGTGCTGTGTTGGCTTTCGGAATCTGTCATGCAAAGAGTGCTAACAGGCAGGAGGTAGATTTGGGATTTTGCATGACCAATGAGGGGGAGGGGGAGTTGTGCACTCTCATAGGGTGATCGAGGAAGACATGACCGCCGTTCGGGCGTGGAATGAGCACTACGGGAAATGGGGCGCCATTTCAACGTGGCTCACGACCTACGTGGATGGGTACAACGAAGCCTGGGACGCACGGTGGTTTTACAGGGGCAAGAAACACTATGGGACTGTCAAGATTGAAATCAACAAAATCGAAATAATTTGTGATGCATAAAACCGATACCAGTTGGAGCCGCAGTTTCCAATCGGCGCATGATAAATTTCGGGAGCACAAAAATCCAGTCTGTCGTGCTGTTTGGGCAAACAAGGCAGCTCCTGTCGTGCTACTCTGGCCGCGCGTCGTCTTCCCCTAAACAGGCCTGCAATCGGTCTCATTTGCTTGCTCCGCAACACAGGCCATGCGTGCCCTGCATTTTATGCATTGCGATTTTGTCGATTTCGATCCTGACACCCCCATAAAAACGGGCGGTGGGTCTGGTTCCGGGAAGATGTCCCCCCAGAGCTCCAGCGGGCGGAGGCGGTCCTGCTGCGAAATGAAACGATTAACGAGGGGAATCCCGACAGAGAGGAAGTGGTTCCGATTGCGGTCATCTTCCATGATGAAAAGTTGTAGCGTAAGTAGTCGTCGCAGCAGGAAGATATTGTTTAATACCTCGGAGGTGGAATACAACCCTTTCGTCCACCACAGACGTAGGTTTCATTATTTCGAAATTCTTTATAGTGTTTGCACAGCACACGTGTACGTTTTCTGGACAACTTTGTTTTTTTTTCACAGGATAAGTACAGAATAAGAATTGGTCGTATCTATCATGCAATTCTAGCTTGAGTTTGTCTGTATCGATATTATTATCATTTTCATGACAGAACTGGAAAGAGGAAAGAAAATAGTTTCTTTTTCTGTGAAGAGTTTGTTTTTCTTTTTTAGCAATGCATGCTGTTTTTCAGGCAGTTTTTCTTACCGCCCACCTTCAGACGAAACGATGAAGATGCGTGCGCGTCTTGCAAAAATGTTTGTATATTTGGGAAGATTTTCTTCAAAGTGTACACTAAGCTTGAGCAAAAAGTCCTCGCATGGTTGTAACTGGCGTACAAGCAACAAGAGAAAACCTCAAACGACAGTAGAGAAAGATCCTGTCTGCTGGCGCATGTGAAGTGGACCACGAGTATAGTACCAAAAAGGATCGTAAACACGATCTCCCTGATGTCGGTGAACAGCTCTATCCATCGTCGTGCGCGTACTTCCAAGTCGGCTTGTCTACGTACAGTTTATGCGTATTTATGGGAAACAGACCAAGGTCAAGCAACGGTGAAAGTCGGAGTAGCCGTCGCATGATTATTTAATCTTCGTGGCGCATTTTTTTTGTCAGGAAGAATTGCTGACAGTCCGAGGTCGTGGCCTTACGATTTCTATTCTGGTCGTTCTTGGGTGGAGCATTCGTAAAAACATCGTGTAAAATAACGGTCATAGTAGGTGGCAGCTTTTTATACCACAACAACATCGAATTGCTAGTACCTTTTGTCAGGTGTTTTTTTTTCGCAGTTAGGATCGCAGATTCCAATGAATCAGTGCTCCATAGGGTGAAAGCAGAAGTATAACTGCGCACAGAAGCCCGGTAATATTGAAGTAGCTTTCTCAGCAATTCTTGTCATCGGATCCAACTATTGTACTTACGACCTGCATATAGGACGATTAGTAAGTATTGCCCCTGGACCAAATAAGGTTATGGACCGAAGATGAGGGACGAGCAATCATTTCAATGTGTGCGACGGAAAAATCTCCAACGCACGGCTCTACGTTTCACTCTCGCGGCGCTTGTTCATCATTTGCCACTTGCGGAGGTGTTTCCCCGGGAGGAGCTGGGTCTTGGTGAGGATCTAGACCCCGGCGTGCGGGAATGGAGAAACGTGGTGGAGGACTTTTACGCAAAAAAAAGGCGCAAAACTAATACTGCCAGTACGGCCGCACTGCACGCGAAGGGCAACGTGGTGGAAAAAACGACGACCGCAGGAGGAACAGGTGATGCTAGTACCAGGCCGCTCGACTTTTTAGAAGCCGACCGAGTGGGCCTTGCCGGCTGCGACGTTGCATTATGTTCGTCGTGGACGTGGAGGTTCTACTTCAGGTTCAGAAGGAGCCACCAGAACCACAGCTGGCCAAGGTCCTACTAGCGAAGATCCGGAAGTACTGGAGCCCCTGCTGCGCCCTCCGAAAGCGGCAGCCGCCGCTCCGTTTTTTCAACGCTCGTCGCTTTTGGAAGTCGAAAAGGAAAGCGCCGAGAAGTGGGGGCCGAATATCAGCCTCCCGCAACTACCGTCTTTTAGTCCCCCCTCGCTTCCAAATATATTTGCGGGGCCGGAACAACAGTGCGAGAAGGTGGAAGCGCTGGACGAAGATGGAAGCGCGCCGCCGGACGACGAGGCCGCAGGGGCCGCCCAGGATGCGGACGAGGAGTGCTGCTTTGTTTTTGCCCCCGGGGTGCTGTACAGTAATGAGAACGGCAACGGGAACACCAACAACCCGGCGGAGCAGAACTACTACCTGCAAGAGGCGCGACGGGACCGGGACGGGTGCGGACACGTCAAGCGGTTCGAGATTTTGAAAAACTGCAATTTGTACGAGGACAAAGTTTTGTGGGACCTTTTGGGAACGCCCATCCCGGCGAAGTACGTGGGGCGGAAGCCGAAGGGGTGCCCCGAAAACGAATTGGAGGCCATGCATTGGCTCATGCAGTCGCTGCACGAGTATTGAGAGGAAAAATCCCCCCTCCCCATATTGAAAAGGTATGTTTCCAAAAATTTGTGTTGCGGATTTGAGGTCACAAATCACATCTGTCTTGCAAGAAGACAAGGGCAGAAGCTTCCGCCCCATTATGGAAGCGATCTGTCATGCTGTTGGGCCTAAAGGGGGGCCGTTTGCCATGCTGAACTACTAGACCCATCCGCCCCTACCTAGCCTGGGGATCTGGCCGCAGTGCGTCCCTGCAATACAAAGCTGATTTGTGGCCACAAATCAGCATCACAAATTTCCTTTCCCTGTCTGCTTCTATTACAGTTGTGAGCGCAAAGTATGGTCGAAATATATAAGAGTGCCCGGGGATGAAGAAATACGCGCGATGTTTTCGCGGTTCTGACCCTATGCCGTTCTGGAGCCTGTGGAGGCTTGCCTCCTCAGCTATGCTGGACAATGGCAATGTCGGTGCGGTTGTTTTAGCATCACAAATTTCCGTTTTGATATGGGGAGGGGGGATTTTTCCTTACGATAACGAGCGACAATACCTGTTCGACCGGCTGCACTTTTGGGAAACGCACGCGGACCGCGTCGTGTCGTACGACTGGGATGACAGGAGCGCGGGCTTGTGCTGCTTCGTCTACGTCCACAACCTGCACGCAAGGAGCGTCGTGCACGACCATGGGAAGGGGGCCGCGTGGCAGATCCCGTGTCGGCACGTCGGGCTGCTCGGGGGCCCGGAGTGGACCCCGTTCGGGGGGATCGGGTACCAGCTCGGGTTCGACGGCGACCAAAAGTGCCCGGAAACCTTCGACGAGGCCGGACGCGCCCTGCTCGCGCTGACCGCGAGCCAGCCCGGCGCGTTCGAGTACCTCCGGCCGCCGGACGCGCCCCACCATTTCTACACCACCCCCGCCGGCCCCGTCACGCCGCCCGAGGAGGGACTCTCGCAGGAGCAGCTCGCGGGGCGGACGTTGGTGCGGAATGTGACGCGGAGGTCGCAACACGAAAAATCGGCGGCCGGGGAGCAGGGCACCAGCGTGCTGATCACCCTGTCCGACCAGGACGACTTCGGGTCGGAGCTGTTTGCCGTCTCCCACGAGGCCCATATCCGCGCCCAACTCAAACGTCCCGTTCCCCCGCAGGTCTACGCCTACCTGCTGGGCACTGCGGACCCCCGCGGCCCCTACCATCCCGAAACGAAGCTGCCGTTGCCGGTCTTCATCCGCGACCACCACCCGTTCGTCGGCGCGTACAACGAGCGCATGCAGCCGCCGATTACCTATCACGAACGCCAGCAGCAGCGGCTGTGCGAGGTGGTCAAGTACGGCATGGAGTACGACGATCAGCACGGAGCGTGCGGCATGTCCTTCTGGCGCGGCGACGGGTTCCGGGGGGTCTCGAGGTTCGGGGTGCCCGCCAGCTGCGCGGAGGACTGTCGGATGCAGTGCACCGAAGCGCCGGGTTGCACGCACTGGACGTACATCGACTGGGAGTGGTCCACGTGGCTCCGGGAGTGGCACCGCCCGGGGCAGGAGTGTTTTTTGAAAAAGTTCGCGCCGGACGCGTTCGGGGATTGGGCCCACCTCCGGCGCCGGGAGGTGTCCCCGACGGAGAAGACTCATTTCGGGGACTGCGGCATCGAGTTTCAGCACCACATGGAGGTACTGGGCTCCATGCAACTGGACCGCGAGGGCGCCCAGAAGCCGCACGGCATCTACCTGAATCCTAACCACAGAAGCGCCTCCGGGGTCAGCTGCCGTTCCAACCGCTACATCCGGGCGGTGCATGACGAAGCGAACGTCCTGTAAGCGTCGCAAAGATCGATGATCTGCGTGGTCTGGATTTGTGTTGCAAGATTTAAAAGGTTTTTGCCAAGGTTTGTGATGTACGGATAGGATTGGCGAGTTTCTTCTCGTCAGGCTGTGAAACTCAATTTATTGTCAAGCGCTTTAATGCAAATAAATCCGCGACAAGGCTGACAATGAATAAGTAAACTTCTGATGCTGTTATGCGGTACAATTCATTGGCTGCTTTGCGATGCGAGTATTAGCAGCACAAGTCGGTTACCAGACCGAGACATGTTCTTTGCAATGCATATCCTACGCGGGCACCGCACAGTGTCCCGTGTCATTCCGCCCGGATTTCCGTACAACAGCATCCCCTTTGAGGAAATCAATAGCCGTATTGCAAGGAAAAATCCCCTTTGTTCCCCATATCGAAAACGTATCTTCTGAAAATTTGCGATGCAGATTTGTGACTACAACAAATCCTGTCTGTCTTGCTAGAAGGCAAATCCAGGCTCTCTGCCACGCTATGCAGGCGATTTGTGACGCTGTAAGGACTACAGGGCGCCAGCCGTCTACCATGCTAGGCACCTACACCAAAAGGCCCCTATCTAGGCTTGCGACGTGCGTGCAGTCCTCTCCTGCAAGACAAATCTGATGCGTGTACGCACATCCAGCATCACAGATCTTCTTTCCGATATTGGGAGGGGGAATTTTTCCTTACGATAAGCCGTCTGCACCTAGGCTTCGTAAACCTGCCGCACTGGATTTCGGAACGGGCGGATGTGGCCTTTCACATCCCGATGCCCAGCAACTACTCGGGAGGGTCCACAGCCGTAGCCGAACAAGTGCAGGCGGCTGATCCGCAAAAGGTGTTGTCGGCGCTGCAGGTTGATGGCGGTGAATCCACGACGGAACAAGGTACTAGCCGCCAAAAAGAAGTAGTAGACCAGGTCGCGGCTAACAGTGTTGACGAAAGTCGTGAAGGAGATGACATCAACGATGATCATCGTGATCTCGTCGGGGTACAAAAGCCGCCAGCGTCTCAAAACACTGGCTCGGACGAGAGTACAACTAGCGAGCCAAAATACTGGCGGTTTGGCCATGACGAAACGGTGCATCCCATAATATCGAAGATTGGACGCGCGGCGGTGAGATACAGGAAGACAGCTAGCGGCAAATGGAAAATGGAAGAGAAATTAGTGGCATCGCTGCCAGATGAGGACGTCTATCCGCGAATTGGGAGGGCGATTCAGGTTGGCTACCAGGTGGCGGCGGGACGGTTACTGGAGACGAGCGTCAGTCGGGAAAGCGACTCCATAGCGGTCTACTCCTGGTCGAAGGGTGCGGAGGACGAGAATGGACTGGTGAGTGAAGTAGCTGCAAAAGCGATCACGACGGTATGTGCGGAGCGGATAGCATTAGTAGCTCAGAAGGAGCCCGCGGCCCAGGTCCTGCAGCTGGCAAGGAGCGAAGTGGAAACGACATGGAAAACGCACGACGAAATCTACTCCCCGGCATGGGACGACGAGGTGTTCATACAGGAGGACGAAGAAGAAAAATTCCAGATGTGGCACGAATTACTAAGTAAAGAACTAGCGCCATTGCCGGAACCAGAAGAAGGCGACGCCAGGATGTCAATAAAGAAGTTGAAGGGGGCGATGAAAGAGCGTCTAGAAGATTGGATAAGAAAGCAGAATGACGAAGAATTGCGGCTACGGGGTAGAGACGAAAGGGAGGCAGGAGTAGCAGCTCTAGGCAACTAGAGTAAAGAAGAAAAGGATCACGCTAATAGGTTGTTTTGTTTAACGCTTTGCTCTTCCCACAGGAAAAAAAGCTAAAAAGAGTAAAGTGAAAAAAAAAATCAAAGACTGGTACGTAAAGAAAATGACAAAAAGACAGTGCTGAGGCCGTCGCGCCGCTTCTTTGTATAGTTTGGTAAGGTGTTACAGTGGCCGTCGCGCCGACAGCAAGGAAGAGTTTTTTTTACTTAGGGCCGTCGTGTCCGTCTTCGACTGCAATAGCAGTGTGAGTGTTCTACATTTGGCCGTCGCGCCGCACTTGTATCAAGGCCGTCGAGCCTTACCGACTGATCCTCGTACGAGGGGGATCGGGCGTGACCCATTGCGGGAACTGGCAAGCTCCGAGCAGCGGTCGGCGTTTGTCCTGCCCCTCCACGGCACAAACGACGGTGACGATGCGCCGGTGCAATCGGACTGGGCAAAGGCCCGGCTGGTGGACGGAGACCGCACGGTGCCCCCTTTTTCTGCCGAAGGAGCTGTGGCCGGAAAAGTACAAGCTGACCCTGGAACGCAACCCGCGGAACAGCACGTGGCAGGTGAAACAAGACACCAAGATATCAAAAGGAAAAATCCCCCCTCCCCATATCGAAAAGGAACGCCTCAGAGAATTTGCGATGCTGATTTGTGACCACAAATCGTGTTTGTCTTGCAAGAAAGCAACGACACGGGCCCCGCCCCATTATGCAGGCGGTTGGTAATGCTGCTGGTCCTACAGCAAAGACGTTCCTCGTGCTAAGTGCCTAGGCCAAAACCTCTCTACATTGGCATGATATGGGCCTGCAGTCCTCTACTGCAAGACAAATCTGATTTGTGTACGCAAATCCAGCGCCACAGATTTCGTTTTCGATATGGGGAGGGGGCATTTTTCCTTTTGATACAAGACGATCCACGAATGGAACGCCCAATACGGGCGGTACGGCGCCGTTTCCACTTGGGTGATATCTTACGTCGGGGGTCGTGACGCGTCGTGGGCGGACCGCTGGTTTTACATCGGACGGCAGCAGGATGGCCAGTGGTCGCACTTCACGCGCGTGCTCCCGGAACCACTGGAAAAAGCGGAAATGGTTATGGGATGGATTCAGCGATTCAAAAGCAGGCGATTCAAAAATTTCTTATTCTTCATCTTGCATGTTCAAAACCTGAAACAAAATATGATCACTTGCGTGATGAACTTTCAATGGTTTGCTTGTCTTTCCGAATCGCCGCCAGAAAAGGTATGAAATTAAATAGCTAGGCCAGTCTCAACTTGAGCTAGATTATCGCTTGCGTTTGTCATGTCAAAAATGAAAAGATAATTGAACTACTTCGCATGATCATCAAAAGTCAAATTATAAAAAGTAAGGAGTTGCCGCAATTTCTTTTCCTTGAAGATGCATGTCATTTCTTATCCCAAAAACGGTTCCCATTTCGGCAGCAAACGACGCGAATTCAGATAGCGGCGAAACCGATATCGGCGACTTATGCACTTGAAGGACCTCGGTCAGTCTCAACTTGAACCAGCTAAATTGGTGTCGTTTTTAATTCGTTTTTTGGTAGCAAATAAAAGTGAAGCGCAGCGGTCCCTGCAGAGATTGTGCTGCTCCGGTCCCAAAATACAAGGCCAAGCCGTCGCAGGGTCCGTCGGGCGGGACTATTTCAGACAAACTGGGAGGCCAAAAGAGTTCAGCTTCAGCCAGACACTAGCTCAGCTCCCTTACTTTTTTCAGACAAAAGTAAGGAGAAATAGCGCAGCTCCCCCGTCGCAGCTCGAGACTCGGGGGAGCAAAAACAGGGCGGATTTGGGGAAATCGTCGGAATGGTGTCAGAAGGCGCCTATACCGTCGCGATTCAGTGACTTTCTATTAGTTTTCTTGTCCCCGGTCTGTATCGGTCGACTTGGCTCATCAAGGGGCTCGATTCAGGAGGTCTACGTAGACCTCCCCCGAGAGCCGGAATCACACTGCTACGCTCGATCCAGATAGAGGTCATTCTGGACCATATTTCTGTTTTAAAAAGACTATGTTTGAATCGCGGCCTGCAAAAACCCAGCTTTTGAGTACCGGCCACTTGATAACTTTCCCAAATGTACAAACTTCAGCACTTCCGCTGCAATTTTCGGCGGACACGCGACGGCCCCAAGAGTGGCGCTGCAACTCCTTACTTTTTTCAGTTGGTTGATGCTTGACGATCATGCGAAATAGTGCAACTCTCCAGATTCAGACTTCCCCTTACTTTTTTCAGCCTTGGCTGAAGTAGTCCTGAACTATTTTGGCATCCCCAAAATATTTCAGACAAAATAGCTCCACTCCCCTTACCTTTTTCAGTTGGTTGGTGTCTGATCATGTGAAAGAGTTCAGCTATCTTTTGACTTTTCGCATGACAAATGCAAATTATAATCTAGCTCAAGTCGAGACTGCCTGAGCTATTTAATTTCATGCCTCTTTTGGCGATCGGAAAGACGAATAAACAAGCGAAAATCCATGACAAAAGTGGCCACATTTCGTTTCAGGTGATTTTGCAGTGCTCGCACTTCACGCGCGTGCTCCCGGACCCACTGGAAAAAGCGGAAATGGTGATTTTGCACAACGAGACGATTAATCCGGACAGTACCGAAAAGCTGGAGGTCGTACCAGTGCAAATCACCTTTCCCCCGGAAGAGGAGGACTAAAGCTACTTACTTACGGGGGAACAACGAGGAGAATACCGGCGTTATTCACGACCTCTCGGGTCGTTTGGGACGAGTTGGAATTTATTATTTCTTTGCCCTGTCCGTCTCTGTAGTGGTACGGATTGGGATTACAGGTTGATGTTCAGCTTCTTACATTTCTTTATCTTTTTTACGCTCTTGTATTGGGTGGTGATGGTGATGTTACAGTGTCTTCATGAATGTGATGCATCTTCTAGTACAACTTGTTGAAGACATGTGATTACGACTTGACATTTACTTTTTATTCAATAGCGATATCTAAATTCAACTCTTGTTCTGGTCTGCCTACAGCAGCCATTGTACACTAGGAAAATTTGCTGGTTTTTTTGAACATAGCGTTTACAATTGTAGTTTCATGTTTTTGGAAAGAATTTTCATGAACTTGTACAGAAGTAATAGCATTGAGCTTTTTGGGTTAATGTGTGCCTCGGCGATGAAAGAAGCACTTTGATATATTTGCGTTGCATTTTTGATGTAACGCAGAAATATGCTGCATTTTTGATGTCGCAGTTACTGTTGCTTTCTCTTTAATCGTAAACTACGATCCAGCGCAGTTGCTAAATTCATTTCCACTGTCCGATCGGAGTAGAACGCCCGGGCAGCCGCCCTCCTACGATTGCGAAACGCCCCGAGGCTATATTCGCAAAGAATACCGGCGACCGGCGGTCTTACTTTTCGTCGACAACTGCAGGGAGCTGGAGACGTTTCTGCAGCGAAAGATCGAGAACGAGTGGCGCCAGTGGGTGGACGAGGAGGTTTTGATGAAGCAAAACACTAAAAACAAAGTGAAAAGTCTCGTCGTCCACCTGGAGCTGGGCTGTGGTGTCAGAGTGCCTTCGTGTAGGAGCGAGGGCGAAAGACTCGTGTGGGAGGTGAATGAGCTTGCTGCGAAAACGAAGAGGAAGTCGAACTCGGAAGTCGAAGTCGAAAGGACGATCATTGAGGAGGAAGAAACTCCTCGTCCTACAACTACAAAAGCCAACTTAATCCGAATCAACCCTGCAGAGCCAACTTTTGTTTTCCTGCGCAAGATTGACAATCCGCTGTTCTGGCATTTCAACGAGGATGATCTCTGCTATCGCACCATTGCGGGCCAGGAAGAGCTATGCCGAGGTAGTGTTTTCCAAACTTGTTAATGCACATGACAAATCTGGAGATGAAGTTGCAGTGGTCGCATTTCACGCGCGTGCTCCCGGAACCACTGGAAAAAGCGGAAATGGTGATTTTGCAGGCGGGGGGGCCGGAACAAACTTTCGGGCGAAGGGATCAAGCAGCTCGTGAACACTTTGTATGCAATGCAAAAGTATCGTGCTAGTAGTAATTGCATTGCAAATTGCCTCAGCATGACAAATGGAATTTGTCATGCTGTTTTACCTTGAGATGGAGATTTGTAATGCATAATGATAATTGCAATTGCTACGAGTCATTGCGTTGCTTTTGCAATGCATACTTTGTTGTGACCGACGATTGTGAAGTTCAAATGTTTTCTCGACGTGAATGTCGACCAGGAAAACGTCCGCCAGTTGACCACCGAGGAGCTGCTGGGCGTTCTCTCCGTCCGCTTGGCCTGGCTGGCCACCAACACCGAGGATAACATTAGCAACGAACTGGCGGGGGCACACTGGCTTGTGGAGTGGAGTTTGCTGATCGATCTGATCAACTGGAATATCCAAGAAAAAGCAACCATAGCCATGCAATTTGTCATGCAAAACACGCATAAACTTGAGTACTTGTCATGCAAAGAATGACAAAGTACTCAAATTTATGCGTGCGGAAAAAATTATGGATGGGGATCATGGTTGATGTTTTTTTGTGGATAGGGAAACTCTTTTTCCTCTACGACTTCTCGCGCGTGATCTTCCCGCTGCTCTTATGATCCAAAAAAAATGAGACCCATATCCAGCATCCAATTTGTCAACATGCAAAACATGCAAGGTCAGACCCAGTGTAGTTTATCATGCAAAAAATGGATGGAGATGCCGATGCTGGGTCCTTTTTTGTGGATGCCTGTACGTGATTTCCGACAGTATCAGGATCAAGCATGGCGGAGCTCCTCCTGAGGGCATTAGCGGGCGAGATGGTGAGCAAAATGAAGACAAAGTTCTCCTATGGCGTTCTCAAATGTTACATTCTCAATTATTACACGAATTTGTGATGCAAAACCAGCAATAGGGAAAGGGGCAAGGTTGCAAGTCTAGCATGACAAATTTGGTAAAATTTTTCAGACAGCGGCAGGATGGCCAGTGCTCGCACTTCACGCGCGTGCTCCCGGACCCACTGGAAAAAGCGGAAATGGTGATTTTGCACAACGAGACGATTAATCCGGACAGTACCGAAAAGCTGGAGGTCGTGCCAGTGCAAATCACCTTTCCCCCGGAAGAGGAGGACTGAAGCTACTTCCTTACGGGGGAACAACGAGGAGAATACTGGCGTTATTCACGACCTCTCGGGTCGTTTGGGACGAGTTGGAATTATTTCTTTGCCCTGTCCGTCTCTGTAGTGGTACGGATTACAGGTTGATGTTCAGTTTTTTTTATCTTTTTTACCCACTTTTATGGGGTGGTGATGGTGATGTTACAGTGTCTTTATGAATGTGATGCATCTTCTAGTGCAACTTGTTGACATGTGATTACGACTTGACATTTACTTTTCATTCAATAGCGATATCTAAATTCGACTCTTGTTCTGGTCTCTCTACAGCAGCCACTGTACACTAGGAAAATTTGCTGTTTTTTTTTTGAACATAGCGTTCACAATTGTAGTTTCGTGTTTTTGGAAAGAATTTTCATGATCTTAAACTTGTACAGAAGTAATAAATAGCATTGGGCTTTTTGGGTTAATGTCAGCCTCGGCGATGAAGTAAGCACTTTGATATATTTGCGTTGCATTTTTGATGTGTCGCAGAAATATGTTGCATTTTTGATGTCGCAGTTACTATTGCTTTCTCCCTAATCGTAAAGCGCGACGGATGAGCGCTCATGAATGCACTCGTCTGCTACTTCTTGCAACTGCTCAGCAACGAGAGCGCCCGCAGTAATTTTACCATCGTCGTCGTCCTTTATTCGCAGTCGTTCTCTCCCGTTGCTGTCAAAAAGCTGTCGTTCTGCTTCTGAAGTAGCAAATCGTCCTGTGTACTGAAGATCTCGTGCATCCTTGTCCTGGTCGTTGTATGCAAAAAAAAATTTTTTGACAAGATAACATAAACCCGGTAGTTGCGGGGCAACGTTGCAACATGTTGACTCTTTTGAAAAAAAGCGCCACAGGCTAAAAGTACGTATTACCAAAATTCAAATAAGGGCGGACACTCACAACTCTCATTGCCACCCCTCTACTTTGCCACTATCCTTATTTTCATCATAAATCGTTTTGCGGTCGTTTTCTTTTGCATTTGTTTTTCTTTTACGGTATGCTATCCCCCCCTAGAAAGACCCGGGAGGACCACTTTAAAGCAGTTTTCAAAACGAAAGATGGACTGCCTCCCGCACCTTCAAAAAAGTTGAAAAAGGAACAGACCTTCGACGGGCACCAGATCCAGACGACCGGGATGACATTTTTGCCATCGGACCACGATTATTTCTTTCGGGCCGCGAAGAAGCCGCGAAGAGAATAAAAAGTAGTGACTTTGTCAAAGGATAAGAGCAGGGCCAATTTTTGAAGGGACGAGAGGGTCAAAGCAGGCAGAAGCGCAAGGCTTTATTGAAGGGACGAGAGGGTCACAGACTCACCATGACAACCACGAGAATTTCCTTTTCCCGCAGTTCCAACCTCCTTCCCCCCGAGGTGGGGTTCTCGGAGTCGGAGAGCGAGGGTGACTTTTCGGAGAGTGAAGACTCGTTTTTCCTCTGCAGCTCCGCAAACAATCATAACGTCAGTGCAGCGAATGATTGCTTTCACACTGCTGCGCAGGAAGGATGCGATGGACAAGAACGGCTTAGTACCTCGGATCAAGTCTTGCTGGAGGAACTGCAGCAGGGTAGTACTGGTACTCTGCGAAGAAAGGGTGCTAGCCTGTCTGAAGACCTGGAACTCCTCGCAGAGGCAGCGTTGGCGCAGAAGAGGCGGAAGAAAGAGCAAAGGGACTTCATGGCTCGAAAGGATTCCTACGCGCACCTGCTCGATGATAACCACCCGATGTGGCAGGTGGACATGGAGGACATCTTCAAAAACGCCGATGAGTTGCTCTGTCCCCCCATGGCACGACTGCTCCGGGAAGAGCAGCGCGCGGTCAAGCACTACCAGGGAAACAAGACGCAAGCCAGATTAGCTTCGATCGTGGAGGAGGAGACGAATTATGGGTCAAATAAGAAAAACACGAATAGTTGTAAAAGCGGGAACATCAAAACTACCACTTCTATTCAAGCCAAATCTAGTACCGCAGCAGCCCTTTCTGCGGGGGTTCGGAAAGCACCAATGTCTACAAAGAAATGCAAAGCGAAAATCCCGCGGCTGTCTTCCATTTTACCAAGAACCGCTTTGTCCGAAGAGATGTGGGAGGCGGCTAAGAAGCAGCCCCTGTTTTACGAAGTTCTGGAGCGAGACTCTTCGGACAGCAGTTCCAGTTCGACTTCGGAGAACAGCAGCACAGAAGGCGGTAATAGCGATACAAGCAGTTGTGGTTCCGACTCCGATCGCGATCAAAGACCACGACTGGGTGCTCGCCCGCATAATTCTTCAACAGGCGGCTCATTGTCACTGTCCTCGTCGTCCTCCCATTTCGAAATCCGAACGAAGAAAGAGTTCATGCTGTTTTACGAGGAGGACACGAGGTCGAACGCAGGTTCGGAAGCGGCATCGACGAAAGGAAAAAAGAAGATCGTGAAGAAAGTCGTGAAAAAGAAGGTCGCGGTGAAAGCTACAAGTGTTGTGGAAGGAGCTGCTAGTGCAGGAGAGGTTCCTGGCGTTTCCGCAATTGGTACCGGCGCCGCAGTGGACCTTCAAGCTACGACCGTTGTTAAGGAAGGTAACACTGCCCCGGAACAAACAGGGAAAATGACCACCGAAGGAGCGGTTGAAGTAGACCCAGCAGAAGCGGCAGCAGCCCCGAAGGCGAAGAAGAAAGTCGTGGTGAAGAAGGTGGTTAAGAAAAAACCCGCTGCTGTTCCTTCCAATGACGAGGAGGTGCAACAAGTAGACAAGCGTGCAACGGTCGCACTTTCTCTACAAGCGGAGGAGGACGGGAATAAGGTGTCCGATGCTGAAGAAGACACAAACAGAGAACTCACCCCGATGGAAAAAACGCTGGACAACATCTGGACCGCGGCGGAGGCGCAGCAGCATGTGGAACAGAAGAAGCTCCAGCAGGAGGTCGCGCGGCAGTGCAAACGGCGCGGCTTGGGACCGCGGCAAGGGGCGGCCGTATGGTCGGACATTCAGGAAGATTTGTCGAAGGAATTGTATTCCGCCGGTGGGGGAGCAGATGGAGATGAAGGCGGTTCTTTGCTCGCGGTCGAGGACGACTTCGCGTCACCGTACCACCCGTTGATTGTGTTGAAACAGGAAAAGGCGAAGCGGAAAAAGAAGATCTGGGGCAATATGCGGTCGAAGATCAAGCTCTGCGCGAACTCGTTGAAGGCCGTGGACAAGATGCTGGATCCCTGTCAGCAGCACATCGACCCGCGGATGAGCGACCGCGATTTACGGCGCCGGTTGCTTTCCATGGAAAACTGCGCGGACCTTTTTGCGAATTACAAAAACTTCTGGGTGTTCTTCACGAAGATCTACAAGGCGCTGGGCTGCAACGCGCTGTACACCTGGCGGGTGGTGTTTGGCGAGAATTTGGTGCTGGATTTCGACACCTTTTCGGAGGGGATGGAGCGGTTCTTCTTGGACCCGTATGCGTTGAAAGAGCAAGAGAAGTCGCAAAACCGGCGGAAGCAGATGCAGGCCGACGCGGCCAAGGGGGGCGCGAGCTGCGTGGCCGCGTCGCTGTTGCAGGGGAAATCCGGGAACTTATGCATTGCAAAAGTGTCTGGGTCTGGAAGGATGCAACTTGTGATGCTGTCTTTGGATGTCTGAAAAATTTGTGTTGCATGAGCAGCACAAGGATTCTGATTTTTGCTACGCGGAGAGGGCATTTGTCATGCGGAATAGGCATCAAGAATCCCTCAAAAAACCTGTGATGCGAGGGCATGCATTGCAGACATCATGGCTCACGCAAACCGTGCGTGACAAGTCTCAGAATCTTCCAGAGGACCCAGACGTATTTGCATTTGATAGAACGGCGCGTTGGGCAAGAGCATCAACGCGATGTCGATGTCGCGGAACGTCGGCAACGCCTCGCGGTCGCCGAACGCCGGCAACAGTCCCCTATCAAATGTAAAAATGTCTGGGTGGTCTGGAAGATTGCAACTTGTGATGCTGTCTCTGCATTATACAAAAATCTGTATTGCATGACCAGCATGAGGGCTCGAGTTTGTGCTACATGGAGAGGGTATTTCTCATGCGGGATAGGCATGAGAAAGTGAAAGCCCGCTAAAAATCTGTGTTGCCAGGTTATGCATTACAGACGTCATGCGTCATGTAAAATCTGCATGACATCCAGACCCAGACATTTTTACATTTGATATCCCCCGGGGGCGGCCTACTCCATGGCCATGAACAAGTCGCAGGCGGTATCGTATTTAAAAACGTCCCCACCCCATAGTTGTGATGCAAATCTGCATGCTGAAAACAAAATGTTTCTCATGCGGAGCCCCATGAGAAGCATTTTCTAGTCGTGTTTTGGAATTTGTCATGCTCCAATCAGCACGATATACTAGCTCTGTGATGCTGCTGAACTACCTCAAACAGCACTACACTACGAGTCCAAATTTGTCATGCAAAACAGACAAAACTTGTGGACTTGTCTAGCCGATTCTCCATCTTGACTATGGTGTGGGGACGTTTTTCCTTTTGATAGGCGGGGGGTTCGGGGGTGTCCAAGTCCCAGGCGGGGAATAAGTCCTTTGGCGGGGGGCTCGGGAAAATCGCGGGCGCGGGCATGAAGAAGTTCGACAAGACCGCGTGCATGCGCAACTTCTGGTCGCAGGTGCATCTGAGCCAAACGGGGATCGTCGCGATTAACGATGTTTTTCCCCTGGAAGGCGGGCTGTTGCTCCAGTTTATGCGGGACCTGAAAATCTACGCGCACCGACAGCAGTGGCAAACGCGGCCGGATTCCGCGGTGAACCCCTGGGCGAAGAAGCAGAAAGTTTTCTCCTGGGCGCTGCACGACCTGTTCGGACCGAGGTTTGTCCCGGACAAGAGGGGCACGATTTTGGGAAACGCGAAGTTGAAGGAGGAACTGGAAAAAGAGTTGAAACTGAACCGGGAGAAGGAGAAAAAACTGTTGCTGCATCCGGTCGCGGAAAAATCTGTTTCGGAGATCACGAATCTGTTGAAAAAGAAGGAAAACCAAAACGAGAACAGCTCAACATCCGCATTGCTCTCCGCCGCGAAGGAGGTGGTGCAGGCCAAGGAGGTGAAGCAAGCGGCGCTGCAGTCTGCGAAATCTTTATACGACGAGCAGAAGAAACCAACGCCCGCCCAGGTGGAGGCCATGGTGAAGCAAGAAGCGAAATTCAACACCGTTTTGGCCGCCGCGGCGAAGAAGGCGGTGGAATATGATAAGCAGAAAAAACAAGACTTGGAACTGCAGGCAAAACTGAAGAAGAAAGTCGGAAATTTCTTATCCGCGCGGGCGCCCCTGCATTCGGCGTTGGACAATCACAAAGACGAGGACAACAAACCGAGCAAAGGGGGTGGTGCGGTGAAGAACTTCAAATGGAAAACGATTGGAGAGCGCTTGTCCAACGCGACCGAGGTCCCCCCCGCGAAACTTCTTGTGAAAAAGGCGAAGCAGGAGAACTGCCAACTAGTCCGGAAGATGTTGAAGGACGAGAACGGAGTGCCAACTTTGGGCGACCACGGGGAGTTCATCTACGTGTACATGAAGGGGAATAAGAGGGTCGACGAAGCTCCTACTGGTGGTCCGAATGATGATATTCTTGGACGGCAGAAGTCATCCGATTCCGCAGCTACAGGGACACCTAAAGGAGCTCTCGCGATGAAAAAGAAACCAAAAGCAAGTGCCAAGAAAAAATTGAATCCGTTAAATGTGAAAGCCGAGGGGGAAATGGGTGTTGTCATCGACGACGGGAACAACGCTTTTGTGGGCGAGGAAGAGCTCTTGGAGGAGGGGGAGGACGAGCAGGAGGCAGCGCTCGGGTTCGCGGGGATCGAGCAGGAAGACAACACCACCAAAGTGAAAATTGTGTTAGAAGAGGGAGATGAGAAATCTTCCGAACCAGGAGCTTTTTTCCCAGATTCATCAAAAGCACCGGGTCGGGAAGATCAGCAATTACAGAAGACCGGTAGCCAGAAGCTTTCCATCGTTCCGATCGAGGTGCCGGATAAGAAACCTTCCGTTTTAGAAAAGTTAGCCACCATCGACTTCGACACGGATTTCGTTACCCAAGAGACCGACGAAAACCACGTGGAGCAGGGCAAGCTGTCCACGCCCCGGGCGCATGTGGAGCACGGGCTGAAACTTTTAGCCGCGGTGGTTCACGTGCAGAAGTGCTTCCGGAAATGGATGAGCAAGACGCTGCACGCGGCGTTATTGAAAGAGGAAGAAACCAGGAAAAACCGCGAGGCGTATGTGAAAAACGTTTTAGACGGCTTGGACTTCCCCGACGCGGACAACAAAACCACGTCGGGGGAGAAGAGACACTTTCAAGACATGTTCGTCGACGAGGACGGCGCGGAGGTGCAGATGCGAGACTCCGAAATCCGGAACTACATCGCGCCGGAAGAGTACAAGAAGGCGCGGGACAACGCGAATCTGAAGCAAACCGACTTCTACAAACTGGAGGAGGGCCGGGTCGTGAATTACATCCAGCAGATCGAGAGAATGCACCCGGGCAAGATGCTCCCGGACGGGGAGGTCGCGCAGAAGCAACGGAGGAAAGAGGAGCTGAAAAAGCAGAAGGAGAAGGAAGAGCAGGAGCGGTTGGAAAGGAGGAAGCAGCGGCACAAGGATATCAAATCCAAAAATGTCTGGGTCTGGAAAAGTGGAACTTGTGATGCGTGTTGCAGATCATACAAGAATCTGTGTTGCATGACTTGCAAAAGGTGCCCTCTTCTGGCCATCCTGAGAGGGCATTTCTCATGCAGAATAGGCATCACCAAGAGGCTGCAGAACCTGTGATGCTAGGCCCTGCATTCCAGACTTGGGGTAGCTTGGAAAAACTGCATGACAAATTTCCGAATCTTCCAGACCCAGACATTTTTGCATTTGATAAAGGAAAAACGAGAACTAAAAGAACGGCAAGCGCGGGAACGGGTGGCCCGCGGGGGGGTTCTGGAATCCGCGAGCCTCGCGGACTTGATGGGCTTGGCGGACCGGCGGAGGGACCTGAACAGACGCGCGTGGAACGCGGATCTCTTGTCTCTAGGCGGGAAAATGCCGAGTCTAGAGGGGGAGGATTCGGACGAGGACCACCATACAGGGTCGCACTTTGTCGACGGGCATCTCCCCAGTTCGGACGAGGAACAGAAGAAGAAAGTGCGGGAAAAATACGAGAAAATGATCCAGGGTTCATCAACATCTCCCGGTACCAGCGGTGGACCCGCAGCAGCAGGAGGAGCCACAGCAGCAGCCGGAACAACTACTAGTGCAGCCGCTTTGGACAAGAAGGAGAAGAAGCTGACGAAGAAGCGGATCCTGCAGCAGCAGCAGGACGCGAAACTGAAAGAGATGAACTTCTTGCTCGAAATGGACGAGGATCCGGAGGAGCGGGCCGCCCGGCTGAAGCGGGAGGAGGAGGAGAAGAAGCGGTATCAATTGCAAATATATCTGGGTCTGGAAGAGTCGAAAAGTTTGTCATGCAGGTTTTGCGTGACCCAGAAGGTATGGCATGCAAGCTGTAGTATGACACGTCTTCAGAAGGTGTCTCGATGCCTAATCCGCATGACAAAGTCCCCTTTTTTGGTGCCAAGTCTTCGTTGGGCCGCCTCTGCTGGTCATGCATGACAGATCTTGTTGCTGTGTGGAATGTGCATCACAACTTGCATCCTTCCAGAGGACCCAGACATATTTGCAATGCATAGGCGGAAGCAGGAAGCGATCGAACTGAAGGAGAAGCTCGGCATCCCGTTCACGAAAGAGGAGGACGGGCTGGTCTTTTACCAGAAGTGGAAGCTCGAGCGGGACCACTTCAAGGACGACTGGCTGATCAACGAGGAGGAGTTTGTCGATAAAGTGATGAAAACCTTCGCGGGGGAATTGTACGAGCTGGAATTTAAGGAGCAGCAGGACCAGATGCAAAAGGAACGGGAGGAGAAGAAACAGTTGGAACAGAAACTGTTGGAAGAGAAGTTGCGGAACAAGAAGGTGGGTGACAGTTTAGAGTTAAAATCTATGCTCGGAAAAGTGACGAAGAGGGACAAGAATCTAACCGGGCGGGAATCGATTTCCTCTCCGGACGATGTGGTGGATTCGCAGGGCAATCTTGCGAGGTTCAGCATCACAAGCTCGGGGGATTTGATCAGCGACGCGGCCAGGTTCAGCATGGTGGAGCCAGCCTCTAATATCGGAGAAACGAATACTAGCGGGATGGCAGGTGGTGCAATAAACGGCAACAACACGACCGGCCGCGAGAGCCAAGTTCTGTTCTACCCGTCCTCGTCGGGGCCGACAGGTGGTTCTGTCTCGAGCGCTTCCTCCAGCGACGAGTCACACATCGACTTCACCGCGAATCACTTTGTGCAGGTGGATCAGAGTAAACCGCACAATATTCAAGAACAGTTGGAAAGTGAACCTGCGGAACAAGCGGATGATCCTCTCGCAGAAAAATTTTCGAATTTTTCCCAGAGCGCGGCGGCCTTGCTCGAATCGGACTTGGAAGAGGTTGAGAAAAGGTTCGAGACCAACTACGGGGAGCTTTTTCGACGACGTGATTCAGCTGCTGGCGGAGATAAAGTTGTGCAGGAACAACGGCACCAGGAGAGCATCTTCAACTTTGAAAATATGGAAAAACAGGTCGGTCTTCAAGAAGAACCAGCTCTCGACGTCGACAAAGTCCTTTTCCACGCCGGTTTGGAAGACGAAGAGTTTCTAAATCAGCAAACCGCTTTCGACGAGAACAACGGACTATCAAAACCGCACATCAATGCGTCTGACGCTGATTGGATGGAGAGTTCTATCGCCAATCAGGTTTTGCTCTTCCCAACGTTGGTGTACCCTATTACGAATCCAGCAAAACCGCAGTCTGATAATTTTGTCCTTCGCGACGAGGAAAACCGGACTTACGAAACGTCCAATTCCCCCTTTCTTTTCATGGGCGGGGAGAAGTCCATGGGGTTGGGGAAAATGAAGGAGGAGGACCCGAACCAAGCCCCCGTCCCGTCGGGCGGGTCCGCTTTGGACCGGAAGCGCGCGTCGCAGATGCACATCAACCGGGTGGGGCAGCAGAACCTGAACTTCAACGAGGACAGTTCCGCCGTGCAACGGTCCATGAGTTGGAAGCAGCAGTACGATAACATCAACGCCAATGCGAACAATTTGAACCCGAGCAAGATCAGCGAACTGCCCGAGTGGCTGCGGGATCCGTTGACCCCCCAGGAGATGATCCAAGTGGATAAGTGGATGAAGAAACGGCACTTTCCGTACAACAAGGAGACCGTGCAAAGGTTGTGGAAGCTGTTCTACACCATGGAGTTCCAACGGTTGTTCGAAATGCCCCAGTACAACGGGCGGATGCAGATCGTGCGACACTTGGGCGATTTGTACGACAAGTGGTCCGAAACCTTGTCCCCCCCGGGGACCGGCACCGGGTTGTCCGCGTTGAAAAAGCGGATCGCGTCGATGCGGACCAAAATCGCCTTGTCCTTCGTGGTCGCGGCGCGCGGGATGACGCGCGCGCGGGCGGAGGACTCGGGGTTCCGCTCCAACGCCATGAGTTTCAAGGTCGCGGGCGGCGGGCCGTCGACCAGTCTCGACGGGGGTGGGCGGAAGAACGTGAAGTACAGAGATGTCAGTAGACACCGGAATTTGAAGGAATTGAAGCAGCAGAGCAACACGACGAGGTTCGAAAACAAAATCCCGTTCCAAAACACCTTCAACCGGACGAAGGTCGCGCGGGTGCGGACGGAGAAGGCGGCGCTCACCGGCCAGGGGGACGATCAACTGAACGATATCTCGGAGACACTCGCGCGATTATCCGGCGTGCACACAAAGCAACCTAGTGCAGGGAATGATCTTCACGGGCAACATGCCCAAAACGCCGACCTGACCGAGGCGGAGAAGCACGCGAAGATGGAGTCGGAAGCGCGGACGTTTACCCAGTCCAGGTTCCGGGCGGAGGCTTTGTCCAAGCGGCAGATCAAGATCTGGTCGAACACGTTAAGGCAGCCGATCGTGAAGCTCGAGAAGGAAACGCCCTTGTTAAACGACTTGCGCGACCACCTGGAGCAGATGTACGGAGGCTCGGTTCGCTCGTGGTTCGAGGGGGTTTTGGGGTTGAACTATCTGGACATTTTCAAATTTTACCAGGATGACGAGAAGCAGCATTTACACTACGCGTTGCTCGGCGGGCGGAAATCTAGATCATTGCTAACCCGGCAGGCCGACCGCGCGCGCGCGCACGCGATCTCCTTCACGAAGAACCAAACGGGGAACCACATATGGATTGCAAAAATGTCTGGGTCTGGAAGATTCTGAACTTGTAATGCTGTCTCTGGATAAAAACAAAATTTGTATTGCATGACCAGTAAGAGGAGTAGCTTTTGTGCTCCGCGGAGATGGCATTTGTCATGCGGAATAGGCATGAGGAAGCGCTCTAAAAATCTGTGATGCTACGGCATGCATCACAGACGTCATTGGTCATGGAAAATTTGCATGACAAATCTAGAAATCTTCCAGACCCAGACATTTTGACATTTGATACCACACCGTCGGGAACAGCTCGAACAAACCCGGGATGGCGCAGTTCTCCGTCGGCGGAGGATCTACTCCGGGGCTGCAGTCCACCAGTAATACTGGGCAGGGCGGGGGAATGTGGGACAGCATCGTGATTTCCCAAGATCTATCAAAATGAAAAATCCCCCCTCCCCATATCGAAAAGGAAGTTTCTGATGCTGGATTTGCGTATACAAATCAGGTTTGTCTTGCAGTAGAGGACTGCAGGCTCCTGCCAAGCCTGAGTAGAGAGCTTTTGGCCTAGGCGCCTTGCATGAAAAACGACTATGCTGTAGGCCCAAGAGCATCACAAACCGCCTGCATAATGCGGCAGAGCCTGTGGAGTTGTCTTCTTGCAAGACAGATGTGATTTGTGACCTCAAATCCGCAACACAAATTTTTGAAAACATACCTTTTCGATATGGGGAGGGGGGATTTTGCCTCTCAATAAGATCCGGAATCCGATATCCAGCAGGGCAGAGCCGTTTCGACGATAACCGGGATTAAGCGGTACTTGTACATCGGGGAGTTCATCCACCAGCTCGCGAACCGGTTCGGCTTCCTCTACACGGTCAAGGACGTGAAGGAGGCGCTAGAACTGGAGGAGTGGGAGAACACGGTCTCTGTCGCCGAGTGGGCGCCGGAAGAGATTTGCGTGGTTTTGAACCTTCGCGACTCCTTACGGGCGAAATACGGAGAATGCAAGAACGTGCTGCAGATGTGGCACAAGAAGCGGTCGTTCACATTAGAAGCCTGGTGCTACTTCATGAAAACAGCACTCGGCTACAACGACGAAGACGAGGCCACCGCGATGATCACGATGGCGATTTTACAGGAGTATCCCGGGTCGCATCTCTACACGGAGAACTTTGCCTGGCTGGACGATTTCGGGACCCTGGAGGAAATGGAGCCGGAGATGATGCAGCGGCGACTGTTTGACAACGAAAGCAACCGGCGGAAGGAGCACGACTACGGCATGAACCACATTCCGCCGCTGAACCGGAAGTGGCAGGCGATCTACAAGGACTTGTACATGGGGAACTACAAACAGCGGCTCCAGGGTGATTTTGAGCAGTTCAGCTCGAGCCGCATGACGGCCGCGGAGGTGATCAGCGAGATCGACGAGCAGGCGCACCAGCAGGAGGAGCACACCATTCTGATCCAAACCGGCGCGGTCGGGGGGCGGCGCGTGGACATGCCGACTTTGACGGAAATGCCGAAGATGTTCATGTACGAGAAGAATGCACAGGGCCGGTTTGTGGAAATTTGGAAATTGGACAAAGAAAACTACAACACGACGTACGTCCCGTTGTCCGGGGAGGAGCAGTGGAAATTGCTGAACCAATGCGTGTTGAACAAGTACGACTCCTGGTACAAGGGTCTCCGCGACATGCAGAGCCAGGTGGCGAACATGACGCCGATCAGCAGCATTTCGATGAAGGAGCTGGTGCAGATGTGCAATTGTCTCGGTGTGCAGGCTTTACAAGTCTCCGTCATCGTCCAGTATTTAGCGCAGGATTCCCTCGCCACCTTCGGCTTCCGGAAGATCGCGCCGAAGGAGATGTCCGCCCTGTTGCAGTTGCACGACTCCATTTTGATCGAGTACGGGTCCACCTGGACCTCGTTGCTGAAACTCTGGACGGATTTATTGCAAGCGGAAGTTCCGTCCTGCTTGAGTTTCGGCGGGGAGGGGAAGGATTTGGCTGCGCTGCCGGACTTCATCGTGAAAAAGGAGACGTTCGTGAATGTGATGGTGCGGAAATTACACTTGCGGAATTCTGTGGCGAAAAAGATTTTCACCATGTTGTACCAGAAGAACGGGGGCGTGGTGCTCGCGGACTTGGTCTTTTTTCTCGGGTTCATGAAGAAGAACCGCGCGGGGTCGAGCCGGGAAGACCAGGAACATGGCTCCGCGATTTTGAAGTTTTTCGTCGTATTGCGACAGTCCGCGAAAGAGAACACCACGGCCGGTGCGTGGCGGGAATTTTTGGACCAAACCTCCAAGGGGTACGTGACCTGGACGGAGTTCATTTTTGGCTGCAAAATGTGCGGGTTCAAGGGGTTCGAATTGCTGCGCGTGTGGCGGCACCTACTCGCTTTCAAAACGGAGCAGCGGTTGACGTACGGGCATTTCGATACCGAGGGGTTCAAATTCTACAAGAAGTTCCGGATGGAGGTGGTCCAGTACGAAAAAGCGCTTTCGCGGGAAGAGTCAATCGCGCGGGGGCTTTTGTCCTCAGAGGAAAATGTCGTGGCGAATGTCGTGGGGGAAAAGAAATCTTCGTCCGCTGGGGACCACAAAAGTGACAAGCACAAACCTGGTTCATCTGGTGACGACGGTACTAAGCAGTTGAAGCCCAAAGATTTGGACAAGGAGGAGGGGAAAGCGCACTCCGTGCACCACAGCAAGTTCGAGAACTGTATTCGGAGGAATTTGATCCGGGTCTTGGATTCCGACTGGTTTTTGAATCGGATCCTCCGCTCCGGGATCTCGCGGCCCATCGGGCAAAGTGCGGGAGCAGGGGATGAACAAGGTACGGGAGATGGCAGTTCTAGAAGCAGTTCTTTTGTCCAGTTAATACCAAACCAGCCCTTAACGGTGCTGTCCGGCAGGTACGGGACCGCCAGTCCCACCGGACAGGCGCAGGGAAGCCTTTTGAGAACCGGCGACGTCGCCAAGATGTCAAGTCGCAAGGAGTTAGAAGAGCAACGAGCGCTGATCTCGGCGGAGAAGCAGATTGCGAGAAGCATCACCGCCCTGACCGGTTCCGACGGGCTGGTTCTGCCGAAAAAAGGCGCCTCGGCGAGCAAGTCCTTTGGCCTAGAAGACGGATCCTCTTCCCTCAAAAAAGCGGGCCAGAAGATCGGGAGGGAGCAGCTGAAGATGATGAAGGACGCGGCTTCGGAGTCGAAGGATCAGATCGTGAAGAAGCAGAGCGAGAAGAAAATGGAGCGGAATTACGAAAAGCTGCGGCGTGGGAAGAAGAAGTTGAAGAAGCTATCCCGTGTAAAAGCATCCCCACCCCAGAGTTGTCATGCAATTCTGCATGCCAAAAAAGATTCTCATGCGGAGCCCTATGAGAAGCGTTTTCTATTCGTGTTTTGGGATTTGTGATGCTAGGATCAGCATGCTATGCTAGATCTGTGATGCTTCTGAGCTAGCTAAACAGGATGACACTACGAGGACAAACTTGTCATGCCAAACAACCAAAGCTGTGTGATTTGTCTAGCAGACTTCCCATCTTGACTCTGGTGTGGGGACGTTTTTAATCAGGATAGAAGCGGCTGGGAAAGAATTTAGAGGAGTTGGAGGAGAAAGAAGATGAGTCGTGGAAGTACATGTACAGTATCAAAACCGCCTACAAGACGAAAAAAGCGCAACTGCAGGAGGAGGAAAGGGAAATGACGCGGATGCGAATCAAGTCCGTGTTGGCGAATCTGATGGAGACCTCGAATGCCGGTGGTTTGATGCCCAAAAATGCAAATGCGTCTCTGTATCGCGGAGCGAATGATCCTAGCAAAAATCCAAACAGCAAATACGGTATCGACCCCTACCTCTTAGAAATCGACGACGAGCGGCTGATGTGCGAGATTTTCGAGCGCATGGGCGCGGACGCGACCGGGAAAGTGTCGATCATGGGGAAGAAAGAGGGTCTACGAAGAATGCGGATCAAACTCCTCGAGTGGTGTGCGGGCGAAAAAATCGTCGAGGCCGGGCACGAAATCGACCAGGCACAGGGTGCTAATCAGGAAAACGATCTAGACGACGAGGAGGAAGAAGACTCCGAATCCGGGGGCAGTCTGGACGGACACAAAACCACAGCTTCGGGTGGGGACAAGGACAGTGAAAATGCTGTGAAAGGAGAGAGTAACAAACCGATGTTCTATCCCGAGAAGAGAACAACCACGAAGATGAATTGTGTCTCTGTGAACAAGAGTAAAAACGCGGATGGTAGAAGTTCATCTTTGAACAGAAAATCTCTACTATCTCCTGCTAAAGTCCTCTCCGCCGAGTTGTCAAAGAAGGCGAAAAGGAGGCAGCGCGAAGCGGAAGAATTAGATGCGGCGCTCGAAGAATACGGGCAGGAAAATGGTGACCTCCCAAGCAGCTCGCCGTACGCGAAAATCGAGAACAAAACCTTGCAAATCATTGAAGAGCAGCTGAAGCCGTACGATGACGCGCCTGATTATGAGCCGTTGATCGTCTTGACCCAGAAGCAAAAGAACGACGCGAGGTGGTTCTTTACCCGCGGGGATAAAAATAGTCAGGCTCCGGCCACCGCTGAAGATTCCTCCAACTTTCTTTTCCTCCCCGACGAAGGCGAGACCACTAAGCCACACAGTGTGAAGAAGAAATCTTCCAAGGACCCCAATAAAAGCGCGAAGAGCAAAAAGCAAGCCTCGAAACTCAAACAGCAGATGCAGGAGGACCAGGACAGCAGCAATCCGCTGCACCAATTGAAAAAGCTGATGGAGGAAAAGAGAAAAGAGGTCGAGGAACAGACCCGACTGAAGCAGCAACACGCGGCGCTGCAAGGCGAGAACAAGAACCCGTTGTCGCACACCCACATGAAAAACGAGGACGCGTTTTCGAAGACGAAGATGATGGTGTACTACCCGTTACTACTGCTTGATTTCGACTTCTGGGACAGCAAAGTGTGGGAGTTCAAGTCCACCGATGAGGGACAATCCTTAGCGAAGAAATCCTCTCGGACGCGCGAGAAGGAGACGTTTCGCAAGGACAAACTGGATTTCCAAACGGACCCGAACGCGGACAAATCCGAATTCTTTTTCGCGAAGGAGAAGATCGGGAAGCTGTCGTTGCAGAAGTTGAAAGAAGACCAGGAACTGGTGGATATCCTGAGGAAAAACGTTCCCACCCCAGAGTTGTCATGCAGATTTGCGATGACAAGGACATTTGTGATGCGCATACCCACGGTAGACATTTTCAATCGTGTTTTGGAATTTGTGATGCTGTGAACAGGGTAATGAGATGGATCTGTGATGCAGCTGTACTTGCTAACCTGCACTACACTACGGAGTGCAACTTGTCATGCGTGACTCCAAGAAGTCCTAGGTTTGTGTTGCAAAATCCCCAACTTGACTCTGGTGTGGGGACGTTTTTACTCAGGATAGTGGAAGAGGAGAACGAAAAGGTTCTGAAAGACGAGCTGACCAGCCACGAGGAGGCGGTCATCGAGGGACACATGCAGGTCCAGTCCGGGGGCTTGGATACCAACTACTTGCTGCAATTGGAAAACCAGAAGAGAAAGAGCTGCCGCGAAATCGTGTTGGACGAAGTGCACAAACTCGCGGATCAACTGCAAAACGACGATAGTGCTACTTTTAAGAGCAACCCTTTCAAGACCACGACCAAAGAGAGAAAACAATTGGCGATCAAAGCCGTAAGTGACAAAGTGGTCCAGAGTCTCCAAAGTTCTGTCTCCGAGTTGCCTGTTTTAGCCTACACGCAGAACAAAACACTTTTATCGCCGGTGATGAAGGCAATTCAGTACCGCGGGGAGAAACTTGGTTTACGGGTGGTTTCCCACGCAGAGCGCGACATGTCGCACATGGAAGAGTTGCATGAAATTTCGCTTGCGGCCGCGAAGGCGGAGGAGAGGAGGAATGCAAGGGACAGCAGGATCTCGACGAGAGGATCAGCACCAATTGGGAGTAGTAGACCACAAACTGCTGCTACGGATCATGAAGTAGATGAGTCCTCTGTTATGAAAGAAGAAAAACAACTCCTCGAGATGGACGAATCTTACCACATGCGCGCCCTGCACGACTCGGTCCGGGAAAGGTTCTGGGACCGGTCGGAACGGCAGTTTGTGACCGAGATGCTGAGAGGGAAAGTCACGTGGCAAGAGCTCCGGGAGTGGTTTGGCGGAAGTGGTAAGAATTATGGTTCGGCGATGCAAAGCCAGCAGATGCTGCGTAATGGTCTGTTCCTCACCGACCTGATTATCAACTACAAACTGCAAAATCTAGACGGAAGCGAGGCGCGCACGAATTTGGAAAAGGATAAGCAGCAGAGGATTCTTCTGCGAACCAGACTCGCCGATCAGAAAGATTTCGGCACGAAGTCCTTCGAGTCGGCGGTGAGAATCACGGAACAAGCGGTGGAATATTTCCAGCGGACCCTCCGGAAGAACAAACACCTGAAAAATTCCGCGCAGCGGGAATTTTCCTTCTTAGAGCACAAGAAAAAGCTCGTCAACTTCGCGAAAAAGCAGTTGTTGCAGGAGTGGCTGACTCGGTTTGACAGAATTCTACTTCCGAGATTGGAGGAAAACGCGCTGACGTCGTTTGAAACCTTCCACAACATGCGAATGGGTGTAAGAACTGCGGCCGGGGGAGGAGTAGACGCAGCTTCAAGCAACGGCAACCAGAACATAATCACGGACAATAGGAAAATAAAAGCGGGCAACAAGCAGAAGCAAGCGAGAGACACTAGCACCCAGAATGCTGGTGCAAGCAGTTCTGCCGACCCGGAGGCGCTGAAGGAGAAGGGATTGATTGAACTGAAGTCGCACTTGAAAACCTCTTCCAACAAGACCAACATCGTGAAGCAGCCACTCCACCTCGAGCCGATCGACCCGCGGTGGGTCGGGGAAACTGCCTGGGTTTTGAAACCGAAGGACCTGGAGGACAAGGGTACATCGAACCAGCATAAAACCGACGGCACTTCTTTGACCGGAATCTTATCCAACGCCCGCCGCTCCGCGAAGCGGTCCTCTCTTCTTGCCGGAGAGCAGATGGGTGGCAAGTCTCAAGACCCTATGCTGCAAAATATTAGCGATGGCACAGCTCGCGACACATATTTGCAGCATCTTGACGCTGTTACCGACGAGGAGCACTACAAGTCTCTGAAGAAGATACGACTAGACCAGGAGCAGCAGCACAGCGCGCACATGCTCGTTGGCGTGGACTTGGATCGGGGATTGCTCAATTTCGACAACTCTTTTGCAGCAACAAGTGGTACCAGTCCCACGGGTGTTGTCGAAGAAGAAGAAGATGGCCTTGAAGACGGTGGGAATAGCGATCTAGATTTATTCCTAGAAGACCCTGGGATGCTGCATGGCGTGAGTTACGACCATGACGGAACAGCAGCAGCTTCTGGTGGCAATCTTTCTCGCGCGTCGACAGGTGGTGGACTTAGCAACAACTACAACAGATCTTCGCAGCTGTCCTCGAAAGGAAATAAGTTCACAACGGGAAACACCTTCAACCCCCGGCTGTTACCGACCGCGGGGTACCAGGAGATCGTTTCGGCGAAGCGAGTGCAACTGCAACCAGAGGATTTATTTTACACAACAGGAGCTGCAGACGACAGAAATCATGACACGATCGCAGATCCAGCGATCTTCGATTCGTTCGCCACCATAGCGGCGGAAAGTGAGGATGAAGAGGTACAACTAGATCATGCTTCTCCTAATGCGCCCAGAAGTACAACATCTGCAAAGTCCACCTTAGCAGCTGCACATCAACCAGCATCGACCAGAACACCTGCGTCCTCGTCCGCAACTCCTGCTTCCAAAAATCACAAGCAGTACTGGGCTGACCCTCGCGAGCTGGTCCATCTCCTTCCCAACAGCCGGTTCCCCGGCGCGGGGACCAACATTTTGAAGAAGGTGGACATCAAAACGCTGAAAATTTCCAAGTCCAAGCAAGCCGCCTCGAACTTCACGAACAGCGCGAGCTTCTTCAACCGGGACAAACTGCTCAACGCGCCGAAAACGGACCGCATGCTGATCTTCGAATCTGCGGCCGAGCACGACCGCGACGTCGTGCTGTCCTACCAGGAGATGCTGGCGGAGTGGATCCTCGGGCCGCTGCTGAAGCCCTCGCGGCACATTTTCAAGTCGCAGAGCGAGATCAAGCACCGCGAATTCTTGGAAAAAACCCCCGACGTTTTCAGCAAGCGCGCCACGGAGAAGATGAAAACGGGGCTGAGTCAGAAGGTGAAGCAAAAACACGCGGTTGACACCGGGTTAGTGCAGTTTTTAGAGCACCACGAACTCCACGACCTCCGGGCGATCTTGGAGGCGGATATCCACAGTAAATTTCCCGTACACGTACACATGCGGTCTTTACATGACAAAAATTGGCTTCGATCCTAGTCTAGCATGACAAGTTTCACGCTTCAAATTGGTGAAATTTGTAATGCATCTTGTACATGCACGGGAAATTTGTATTGCATAGCGGAGCTGCTGCAAGACGTGAGCTCGAACAGCCTCCCGGAAAACGAACAGCAAGTGGTGGAGAAAGCGAATGAGGTGATGAATAGCGCCGAATCTTCATCATCTTTCACATCCGCCGTGACGATTCAGCAGATGATCACGAATCTCTCCGAGCAGATTACGCCGATCTTGGATCCCCGCGTCGCCCAGTCGAACACGAACCAGGCGCAATCGAATTCGTCCAAGTCGTTGAACACCGAAATCCTCCCCGACGTGATCGAGGTCTACGCGCACGGGGCGGCCTTGATCCTGCACAAGATGGAGAAGCGGATGAACATCTTGAAACCCGTAGTATTACGGCTGCAAACCTGGTGGCGGCAGAAGCAGGCAGCGATCAAGACGGCGGAGCTGCGGAAGCGGAAATTGAAACTCGTGAAACAGAAAGTTCTGAACTACGTGAAGCACACGGCGCTGCCCGGGAAGTTTTTGTCCGAAAAGTTGTTATCGGAAGAGAGACGGAAAAGCATGCACAACCGCCGGGCGGGCGCGAACGCGACGCAGGAGTTTCACGATAGCGCTGTCGAGGGTTCCGTGATGCTCTCAAATAAATCCAAGCCAAACTCGTTGGGAGGAAAAGCGGTCAACAAAACTGCGCAGGAAACAGTAGAACCAGAGAAGGGAGCAGCAGCTGCTGCTGCCGAGGGGGAGCAAGTAAAGCGAATTGCTCCTACGGAGGTAGCACAGGGTTTGGATGAAGACAATTTGAAGAACCGCGTCACAGAAGCCGCACCAGAGGCGCAGCCGCGCATGACGGCGATTGGCGGGCTGGCGCCCACGGCGCAGAGCTTGTTTGAAGATCTGCTGTGAGCATAGTGTTTTCAATCTTGAGGTCATCTAGAGTTTTACTTTGACATCACCTTTTATTTTTTGAATTTTGCAAACAGCCCGTCTTTGTACCATTTCCACCTCTTATTTTTTGAATTTTGCAGACAGCTCGTTCATGATGGTGTCCACCTTTTATTTTTTGAATTTTGCAAAGCATACGATTACTTTTTTGTTTTTCGTAGCCATTGCCGGCCAAGCTGATTTTTTGAATTTTGCATGTGATTTTTTTGTTCCTTTGATTCCAGCAAATGTTATGCCCCGAGGCTACCCCACCGAAAATGTAAGGTTTCTTGCTGCTATTCGTATTCACCCAGGAATGGATCTCATTTATTTGTCCGTGCTAGCATTAATTTGAAAACGGAAACACGCATCAGCTGGCGATGACTCCTAGGTCCTCGGCAAAAAGTGTTTTCTCTCTGAGGTCGGTGAAATTGTTTCAATGTGTCACTCGTTATTTTGAAATGCAAATTTCGGTATAGTTATCTCTTAAGTCTTGTGTAATCAAAACCAAAAGGAAAAGTCAGTCTCTTGTTTACCGTAGAGAAAGTACGACCTCCTGCTTTCGTACCTCGTCTGGCTCTTCTACGTCATCGTTCGTCCGTGAAACAAGTCGTCGTTGTGAATTTTCGTACCCCTTCCGAGCTGCTGGTGCCGTCAAGCCCGAGCCAATCACAGATTTCGTGCTTCCAATAGCCTAACCATTAATTGCACTAGCGAGCAAAGCTCGTGAAGATTCTTTCACAACCGCAGGGTGACGGTACACTTCTGATCTACTTCAGTCCTTGTAGTTTTCGTACGACCCAGGTCTCGGCAGATTCAGTTTACTTGCATGGCAAAAAGACGTTGTTTGTGAAATCCCAATCCGTTATTTCTTTACGCATCCTGAGTCGTGTGTCCAAAAGCTTCTAAAATCAATACGAAACACGAACCGCATTCACTTTCAGCACGACAGGAGCACAAAACCTGAACCATAAAATGGCGTGCGCAGGAGCGTTGCCAAGACGCAGGAGCAGTGCGCTCCTTGCAGCCTCCACCGTCGGCGTCGAGCGGCTCTCGGTTTTATTCTCTGCGGAATTTCTCTTCCCGGGTGAAGAACTAGGTCGTGGTGTAATGATTCTTCCGGCCGCCGGGGTGGACGTGGACCGTCGCTTCCTAACGCGTCAGGAAGACAAGAATTACCGCCTCCGCGGGAACACGAACGAGCAGGGAAACAGCAAGAATTATGCAGCTGGGTCAGCAGCACTTCTGCAAGTGGAAGCGGCCGAGGGGAGGAACCTGCTTCCACTTGTTTTTAGAAAGCGCAGCGGCGCCGGCTTTCTGGAACAGCAAAGTACGAGGATGAAGGACAGTGACACGGCATCCACATCAGGCCGGGGAAGAGGTGGTGGGCGAAACGGCGGTAACGGCAGCGGGGGCAATTGGCGTGAGATTAAAGACGCGAACGGCGGTGCGGGGAAGAATTCTGGGAGCAAAGGAGAAGGCGGAAGCAAAGGCGGAGGCCGAGATAACGGAGCTGCAGGGGAGGGCGCCGGACAGGGCGGACCAATCGGACAGCAGGGCCAGGAGGCACAGCACCAGCAGGGCACAGCCCAGAGTCATTCTGCAACCGTGGTCTCGCATGCAGATGCAACCGAAGCGACCGCCGCGGGGGGAGTCGAAAAAACACAAGAAGCGCAAGCTGAAGAAGTTCTTATCAAGCAGACTTCCGGTGAAGTCGGCCACCACGGGGGTCACCAGACCGGCGCAGGCCAGGCGGGGCACGGCGGAGAAATCGTGGCGCACCAGGAACGCCAGATTGTTGGCGACCCAAAGAAAACCTCCTCTTCTCCACCAGCGGAGCCCGCGCCGCCACTCGACGACCCGGAGGACATCGAGTGCGCGCGCAAAGCCGGGTCGGAACAGGAGTGCGAGGGCGCGGACCCGGCGGCGCAGCGGTGCTTTTTCCGCCCGGCGTTCTCGGACCCCACGGGGCGCACGGACGAAAACGGGGCCCCCTACGTGTACCCCGCGGAGTGTGTGGGAGGGAAAAACGGGTGCGACGCGGTCAGCGACCAGCTTTCCTGCGACCAGTTGCCCGTGTGCGCCTGGGTGGACTCCACGGACGAAGTGTTGCTCGGCGCGCGGGTGGCGGGGTTTGCATTTTTGCAGCCTCACATGTTGGGCGAACTCACCCCGCAAACGTCGCCCTTCCAGGCGCTGGACACCAGCGGGGGGTTGCTGAAGGAAAGACTCCCCGACGACCGGGAGAGCCGACCGCACGCCGAGCAGTGGTGCACGGCGGTGAAGCACCTTGGCACCTGCGCAATGTTTTCAGCGAACGCGGAGCAGTGTGTGCGGCACGGGTGTCCCGGCGTTCCCATGTACCGGCTCGACGCCCCGGCCTCCTCCTGCACCGGCACGCTGGGCGATAACCTCGTTGCTGGCGCGCCGCCCAGCCTCGGGCCCTGCTGCTTCCGCTTTGCGTTCGGCACCGGAGTGGAGCAAGGAGGTTCGGCGCCGGCGTTGAAGATCGTGAGTTGCAGTGCCGGAGAAGACCCGGAGGCCCCCGACGGAGAGTTTGGTCCGGTGCATGAGGCGGACATCTGCCCGCGTGATGTGGCCGAGGCGCAGGAGTGGGTTGTGTCTGGTGCTGAGGGAGGTGAAAGTAGTTCGAACGCGGCGGCGACCACTTCGGGGGGCCAGACGAGCGGAACTTCTGGTACTAATGGCCCCGCTTCGTCTTTATCCACCGGGATGAGCAATAGCAACGGGGGAATTTTGTTCAGCAGTGGACAACAAGTGACCAACGAATGCGAGGGGAAAACAAGCTCGCGGGAGGACTGCGAGGCCGTGGTGGACAGCACCGGCGGGGCATTGTGCTGGTTTCAGGCGGAAGTGACTTCTTCGCCGGACGGCGGTCCAGCCCAGCCGGCCGCCTGCAATGCCTGGAGCGACCCCGCCCTCGCGAAGAAGGGCTGTCGGCAGCAGGGGTTTGCTACTGCCGACTCCTGCGACGCGTCTCCGCACTGCGTCTGGGTGGACACCGCGGACGCGGAGAAGCTAAACGTGCAGCTGGGACACGAGTTGCTTGCGGCCCAGGAACTCGGACAGGAGGGAGTCGCACTGAAAGAGGCCCTGGATGCACAGGCCAACGGCCTACTGACCGAATCCGCCTACTGTGTCGCGAAGGCCATGCTGCGAACCTGCGACCTATTTGCCTACAACTCGGCGCAGTGCGTGCAGCACGGGTGCGCGGAGTATCCGATTCAGGCACTAGACGCGCCGACTGCAGCCTTTGCGACTTGCAAGGGCGAGCTGGGCGCGTTCTACAAAATTCCCTTTGGCAGGGTCGTGACGCTTGACACGCCGTGCGCGGACCGGCTGCCGACTGTGGAATCCTGCGAACTGGCGGAGGAGGGAGAGCAGAGCAAGTGCTGGTTGGCGCCAGCGGGAGGGGATGCGAACTCGCCCTGGGCGGTGTGTCACGAGTGGTCCGAGGACACGGAGCGGGCGGGGTGCGCGGCAAAGACCGGGGTCTGCGACGCGCTGAGCTCTTGCACGATGCAAGACTTCTCCGCGGCCGCCGTGTTCGACAAGGAAATTTTGACGGATCTAGGCAAGGCGTTGCTGACGGAGCTCGAAAGCGTCTGCCTGAACCAGCTGGAAGCCGATGGGTTGGCGGTCGCGAAAGCTTGCGTTCCCGCCTCGAAGCTGGAGACCTGCGAATCGTTTTCGGGGAACGCAATGGCGTGTGTGCGAAAGGGATGCGAAAAATTTCCCACCAAAGAAGATCCGACCTGCACGGGCACGTGGGGAGCGAACCTATATCGGACGGAAATCAGTCGTTTGGCTTCATCCACTTGTTTTTGAATTTGCGAAGAAGTGTTGACATTGGAAATACAAATACTTGTGATTACAGAATCAATGCCTATGTTGCCTCCAATGCCACAGCGTGCAAGCACACATATCAATAGATGACTGGCATGCTGGCTGAAGAGCCGTGTAAGGTATAGAATGAATGGCTCTTCTTGTAGTATTGAGACATGAAAAGGCTTCACCTGTTTGAAGCCTGTTGATGTACGTGTATCTTGCATGTTACTCTAGTGGGTTTGTGGTGATGAAAGTCAAGGATGTTCGTTTCGATAATCGCGTTGCCAGTGGCGCACCTGGGGACGACAGGGGGACAACCACAAACACAACGAATGCGACGACGGACGGTTCATTGTGCTGCTAGGATCGATGTGCCCAACTTATTCTGTGTTATCGTTGACTTTGAAGACATGCTAGAGCTAGTGCGTTTCAATTTCTGTACTACAAAGAGAAAAAGTGTACTACGAGTAGAAATTTCATTGCCCCTCCTTGTACTCTGAATATGAAGATGCACAGGGTAAGTGGTAGTTAGATTCCCTCCTTTTAATCGCTTTCCGAGATGTTGAAGTTATTCGTACCTCCACCCCGCAGAGGACAAGAGTCTACTCTTCTTTCTCAACCCTCTGTCTATCACCCTCCTCGACTACGAAGAGACTTGCTGGCATGCAACAGATTCTAACGGACAAAGTCGTCTTCTTTTCTTTTTCCCCCAGCCCCAATCCCCTCTCCAGAATAGTACAATGTCTCAGATCCGCTGAAGCATGCGATTGCTCTTCGATTTCGGCCAGCAGCGCAAGGCTCGCGAAAAAGCCGTTCTACTTGCGGTTTTTTTCTCCTCTGCAGTGGCCATGAGTACTACATGCACAGCAACGAGGCACATGCAAATTTGTCGTTCCGTCACTTTTGTGGTGCCATCGTTCAAAACAATCGTCCTGAGTCGTGCCACCCTCGTTTTCGTGCAAGCCCGATGTTCATAAATATGTCCGAAGAAGTAGAAGGCTTCTATGGTTCGCGTGCTGCCTTTCCACGTCTCGGCTGGCCGTTTTCGGCCATAGCGTTTTTTTTCGTTATTTGTTGGTAGGAAATTGAATCGGAATCCAATCGGATGTAAAGCTGCTCAAGTAGCACCAGGAAGAGTAGCACCCCTCTAGCTCTACTCGTTCTACCCGAAATATTTACACGCGAGCCGGCTTCGTCTCCTTAATGGAGAAAGAAAAGCACGATTCAACATCTTTACAAAGGCATAATTTTCTTGATTGACGCATTGGCGAAGTTGTTCCATTCATTCAGACCGCCAGCAGTTGCAGTTTTCATTTCAGATTCGCTTGTTCTTCCCGGACGCGGCGGCCATGATGACGCTGCGGCGCACACCAGTACGGAGATGTTATATCGCGAGTGCTTGTCGCGCGTTCTTCTGCGTCGACCCCCTCTGGTGCAGTCTATGGAACGATTCTGTCCTTCCTGCCGTCCGCGGCCACATGATGTACTTGAGAAGACTTCCTAACGGCGTCCAGCTGTATGACCTGCAGCGAGGTGGGGCCGACGTGGATGCGTCGGGCCAGCCGTGGTACCCGCGCAGGGGCTTGGGGCATGTAGACGGCGAAGGGGGGAAATTAGATGCTGCAAGACGCGGTAGCGGTTTTGGAGAAGATTTCAAGGCACAGAGTAACAAGTACACCAGTAGCACGAGGAAAAATCTTCATCCTTCCGCCTCATATCAGAATAAATTGGAGTTGTATAGTAGGGACCTACTAGCATGACGTGTGTAGTACATATTGCACAAGAATAAATCATTCTGATTATAATCCTGCCGGCAGATAATTCTGATTGAGCACTATGGGGATGGCGGTGGTTCTTTTTGCCTAGGATAACGAAGGAGTTTTGCGAACTCGACTCGGACGGCGACGGCATGACCAATGGCCTCGAGCTCGGCGACCCGTGTTGTGAATGGGATCTTGCGACGTACGGGGATGCAACGGATTTATGGCCCGGCGGCCGGACCGATCTGTCGACCTTGACGCAGCCCGGCTTGGCGGACGAGAAAAGTGTCGTGGACGCGCAAAACGCACTGTACGGCAAGGCGGTGGTGTGCACCACGGAGACGGACCAGGGTCTCGGAGCGGCAGCCGCGGAGGGCACGGAGAGCACGCAAGAGCAGGGCGGCGGTGCGGATAGTGGAGATTGGGCGGACACGGGTACTAGTGGCGGAAACGAGGAGCAGGGCAGCAGCGACACCAAGGGAGGGGCCGGGGGCGCAGGCGACACAAAATCAAACTCCAGCTCGAAGAACGAAGGCGGCGGCGGTTTCTTGTGCTGCTAAAGAAGTAGCAGACGAATCATCATAGCATTTGACTACATGATAAAAACCATGCTGCTCTCCTGACACGTGCATGTCCAAATACTTTTTTTCTCGAAACATAATTTATTCAGTTGAAAATTGACCTTCTTGTAACTGGTGGTGTATGTCGCAGCACAGGCCGCCCGATCTCGATGTACTTGGCGTTCGGCGAAAAATGTTTCGTACATACTTACTACTCGTTTTGGATATATTTTTCGGTGGCGTTTCACAACCTCGGGGTCGGTTCTCTTCACCTCACCAGACGCTCTGTGCGTGTCTTACTGAGTAAGTTTAGCTGTAGCTACCTCATCTGGCTTTTCACCGTCGGTGTCGTGCTGAAACGTCAACAAATTGATGACGCTGTTGCTGTATTCTAGTTTTGTAGGTTAGTAGCTCATGACTTTCATCGTGCTTCCGTAGGTAGCCGTCGTCCGCGTTTCGTTCGTCTTATTGACACAGAGCAATCGATTTCCCGGTCGGTTCTGACGCCGGATTATCCGTCTTCTTCGTTCGGTGGTGTGCTGCGTGGTTCACGTAAAAGTGCATTTTCTACGTGCGTTCGAAAATTTTGCTCTGGTACTCCGCTGCACAACATATTTTTATCTTTCCACGTTGCCCACAGGTGTAGCTGTTTGGTGACTTCTGTGTTGTACTCACCTACATGTGGGTCCTCTCCTCGCAGCCCATCCCGATATGATATATCACTTTTTGTTTCATCCTAATGAAGAGAAACTTCTAACCGCTTCTACCATTTCCCCACCCTGAGTCTCACTGATACGAAAAACTGCCAGTTGTTGCAACGTCGTCTTATACATGGCGATCCAATATTAGCCGGGTCGCATACACGGCGGCAGTGGCAGGTACCAGAAGCCTTCTAATATACAGCAAGAACAACTTTTCATTTATCGATAAACTTTGATTGTTCAGTCGTGCGGCAATCGAAAACCGAGAAATGTCGTCCTCTTTGAGCAGTCTGCTGGGGGCCAGTTCTTCCACCAAAAAGGGTCAGCAGAAGAAAACCGAGTTGGTACCGAAAAAGTTGCGGAAACAGACGCGCTTCGAGACGAAGCACGAGTTTGAGCACTCGCTGCTGCTGCAAACCTACCAGTCCAAGATTCGGTTCTGGCGCCACGTGCTGGACCCGGACAGCCAGGGCCGCATCACCCAGCTCGAGTTCCTCCACAAACTGCGCAACCGGTGCAGCACCAAGCTGGACCTGAACCTGCTCCGCCTCTGGGAAGCGCTCCTCGTCGGGCCTAGCAAGATGATATCAAAAGTAAAAATGTCTGGGTCTGGAAACTTGTGATGCTGGGTGGCGTCTCATGATGAGGCTACGAATACTGGCTCAGCATGACAAGTTTCTGAGCTCCTAGGTGTTGCCTATTCTGCATGACAAACTGCGGCTCTGCATCACAGAAAAACGGAGCTCTTGGGTAACGTGCATGACAGATTTAAGAGTCATGCCAGACAAGCATGACAAACATGAATTCTTCCAGACCCAGACATTTTTACAGTTGATAGATGAGCCGGGACGACGATACGGACGAGGAAAGTGTTCCTGCCTCCACGGCGGACCAGAAAATCGACCACTTTGGGGACCAGTTTATGTATCTCCAGCATTTCGCGCCGGAGGGCACACTGCTGCTGAAGAACTTCCTGCTCGCCCTGCAGATCCACTTTCACGGGCTGAACCAGCAGCAACTGCTAGAGGCCGTGTGGAAGGCGCTGACCGCCGACAAGGAGCGGGAGCAGATCGACCGCATGTTCACGCCGGTCAACGAGATCGCGCTGGGGAAGCTGCTCGCGAGTTTGCGGTCGCTGGAGGAACGGAAGCTCGCCATCGACCAGCGGCTCCGGCGCCGGCTGTTTCTGGACCTCACCCGGGTCTCCTCGTTGAACAAAAATCACGAATTTACGTCGAATTCTCGCCAGTCCCTGATGTTCGAGGACCTGCGTTGGCTGATCTTCGACTTCCCCAAGGGCACGATCATGGAGCGCAGGGCCGATATCAACACGACCACCGGTACAACTGTGTTTGCGGACCATGCTATGAGCGGCGCAGGAGGACCACGAGCAGGAGGCACAGGTACTAGCAGAGGTAGTACAACAAGTTTTAATCCTAGGTCTAGGACCAGCATCTCGCCCCCTACTTCGCTCTCGCTGCACCACGTCGCTGCCGCCGCAGAGGTCCTTTTGGAGAAGTCGCCGCAACAGAGGCTGAAAAAGGAGATTTACCAGCGGCGGGAGGGCGTGCTCGAGAAGGAGTCGCTGAAGTTGCACGCGAACCCCAGCGCCTACCAGGAGTACCGGGACGTGCGCAAGATCCAGAACGAAATCTCGCGTATGACGCGGGGGAACCGCATCCTCGAGGCGTCTTCAAGCATTCCGGGAGAGGCGGACGGGTTGCCCCTCGGAGCCACGACCGGGAGCCCGGCTGTTCGGGAGCTCGGCAACGAGCAGCGCCTCATCAAGCTCAAGTACCTTCGGCACCACCTGCCCATCCTGGAGAAGCTGGTCACAGAGGTGCGCGACATCCAGCAAATTTTGTTCCACCATCGGACTGGGCGGATCCCCCGCGAACTGCACCTGCTGGAACACACGTATCCACGGCAAATGGGTTTGGGTCTGGAAGATTGGTTTTTCATGCAATTTTCCCAAGCTCTACAGTGCAAAGAGTCTGCAATGCACCGCTTAGCATCACATGTTCTGCAGCCGCTTGGCAATGCCTAAGGTTCTGCATGAGAGCAATTCAGCATGCCCAGAAATAGGCATCTTTTGCAAGTCAAGCGAGACAGATATTTGCGTGACCCTGACCCGGAACACTCGTTACAAATTCACTCTCTTATTTCAGACCCAGACATATTTGCAGTCGATAGCACGTACCTTAAAGCGATTCTGGATTTGGAGAAGGAAATCGAGGGCGAGATTAAGTGTCTACAGGTGGTGGACTGAGAAGTTCCTGCTTCAGCTTGTGCGGTGTCATTTTTTTGATTTATTCATTCCACAGACATAGTGGTCATGGTCATGGACCTAGACGTAGACCCGGCACTTCTGGTTCTGCTAGGGAAATAAAGCCCTTTTTTGAGCACGGTATTGTGGTTTAATGCTTTCAATGTGAGAAACTACCCTGTAGTGATCTCCCTGTACTAGAAGGTGCGCTCTTGCAAAAGAAACTTTTCAAAAAGCAGTTTTTTAGTCCGTCGCAGTTGAGGAGGTGTCTATTCCCATTCCCTCCACTAGTTTCAGAATAATTCAAAAAGAAAAGTTTTTGATCAAGCAGATGACAATCCTTCTTTCAAGGATCTTTTGTCTACTTCCACGCAAAATCGTCGACGAGGCATAGATACCAACGCCGCTATCGTGGATTGTATTCTTCGCGCCTGCACGGTCAATGGTGTCGTTGTGCTTGATGCTCGGTGTAGTGTTGCTATTGTGAGTTGTTTTTGATTTTGGCGGCTTTTTGTCGTATTTCGTGATCGTGTCGTTCCTCAACGTCGTAGTTGTCGTCGGTGTCGTCCAGCATGACAAATGACTCTTCGTCCACCTCCTAGATGCGCAGCCGCTCCCACTGTATCACAAGATTAACGTTGGCAATACTATGATATATCATTTTTTTTCTCGTTCGTGCGTGCACCGCATAGAACGTGGCGACGTTATTTTCTGTGTCAGGTCTCCTACAGGTGGCACTTTCAGGATGGATTTCTTCATCGGTATCGTGCATTCTTCTGCTGCGTGTACTTATTCTCTGGAAAATTTAAATGAAAATTCAGGTTTCAGGTTGAGGCTGATCACCTGCTCCCCTTACCCTTCTTTTCACATTCGTAAAGTTCAATACTTTACTTTGCTAATTCACTTGCGTATTGTAAAATTTGATTTGAATTTGTAGAAGCGATTCATTATTTCACGAAAGAGAGAAGCATGGCGCTAAACTCTTCGGTCGCAAGCAAAAAAGCCCCGCATGCCGTTTTTCGGCTGGACCCGCGCGGCTGCAGCCTGCTCGCATTCACGATGAGCCAAGGCGTTTTGCTGTTTCCAGCGGACGCGTTTAAGCTTCTGAATTTGCAGGGTGGCAAAGATAAAGTCAAACGTACGAGCGTTCGCGTAAAGACGACTGCAGGTACGACACACAGTGCAGAGCGCACGGGGTACGGCGTCGCGGCACTCCAGGAGGAAGAGGGCGATGACGTGTGCGCTTCGAACAGCGACAAGTGGCTGCCCCTGTGCGGAGGCAATGATTCGGACTGCGGGAAATTCTTCAGCATCGTGGGGGGAGCGGACTCGGGGGGCGAGGACGGAAACAAATGCTGGGTGGAGATGCCGGAAGTGTGGTATGCCCATTCTGGTCAGTTCATTCCGCTGCAGGACATTGAAGATGGGCAGAAAACTCCCCGAGAGTGTGCGGCGAAGTGTGCTGCCGATGCAGACTGCGTTGGGTATATGCAGTGGGGGGACCCGGTGGCTGAGGGGGAGGACATCGAAACCGCCGTCGCCGACTGTGGGCTGTACCGGAAATCTGATAAACTTACAACTTCGGAGGCTTGGCTTCACGAAACGGCAAACGCGATCACGCTGCAAGAATGGACTCGCGCTAATTACGGGTGGAGAAGAGGGATCTACCGCTTTTGCGGAGTCTGTCCGGCGCGTGATTCCCTGCAATGCCCAGCTGGGTATGATCCTGTGGAAAAGAAGCAGATGCAGGAATCTACAACAGAGCTGCGGAAATTGATGTATCGCAAAACTGACTTTCGAGTTGGTCCTTGGGAAGCAGTGGATTGCCCCGAGGGTGTCGATTCTTCAAAGGCTTCCTGCGGGCAAAGGGTAATCCAAGATCCGGCTGATCTGTCGGACTGCAGAGCTGCGTGTGACGGGATGAATTCGCCGACTGCTTGTGGGGGCTTCAGCGGGAAACAGGACGGCGACAAAATCGTCTGTAAGCTGTACTCTGAATATCAGCTGAGTGACAGGGTAGCCGAGACCTCGGCAGAGGACAACGACTTCGTCTTGTGCTCTCGACCAACGACGACTACTCCGCCTCCGCTGTCGTGCCCAACGACCGGCACCGATGCCAACTCTACGGCTGTCGCGTTCGAGCTCGTGAACGGGAAAAAGGTCCATTCCGCGGGGGCCTACAAAACTACGGATCTTGGTGGCGACGCGGCCGACCTCGGTTTGTGCGCCGATGAGTGCGCGCAGGACGAGGCGTGCGCCGCGTTCTCGGGGCACCGAGACGCAGCCACGGGAGCGGTACAGTGCAGTCTGCACACGCAAGAAACTGTTGATGACGCGGACCTTGTGACTGACATGCCAGCAGGGATGGACAATGTGTTTTGCCGACGAAGCGTACCTCAACTATCAGAGGCTCCTACCACCTGTCCCGAGCAGGAAATCCAGGTGGGCACCAGCACGGCCACTTTCGAAGCGAGTACGGAGGCAAAGACGATCAGCGCGAAAATGGCCTCCAGTCCGACCGACCAACAGACGGTGTCGCAGTGCGCGGACTTGTGCGCGCAGTCGCAGGAGCAGTGTGTCGCCTTCTCTTATGCGACGAGCGAGCAGGAGTGCAACTTGCACAGCCAAGAAAACGTGGACGGCGCGGTCGCGGAAGCGGATCCGACGAAGATCTTGTGCAAATTGAAAGTTGCCACGAGCTCGGGGGATGGGAATTCGGGGGATGGGACTTCGGGGGGTGGGACTGCAACTGGGACAGGAGACAACGTCCGTCATACGATTCAGAAAAAATGCTAGCTTTGTACGTTTGATGTCCAGGAGGTCATGCAAAGAGACTCTATGCAAATAAAACATGATTTGTGCGTATTTTTACTATTGATGTCATGCATGTGGGCTCGGGGGAGCATGAAAATCAAATTTTTACGAGGTATCCACCCGATACAACTGAAACTTCCTTGCGGCCTGCTTTTGCATCCCTGTGTGAACAGGAAGGTAACTATGGGTGATGACAAGAAGGACAAATGTATAACGCTGCAGGAATATTTACCCCTCTATACAACTACTCTCGGACGTCGACCTTCCAGAAGCAAAGTGCTGCTAATGGCGGCAGCCAGAAGTACCACCGGCGAAACACCTCTGTACTAAATCATTATCATGTGCATAAAGATTTTCTTGCACGACCCACACGACCGGCGTTGCGACAAACCTCGTATTCATCTCTGCCATGTTGGCTTCTTCCACCTCTTCAAAGTGGAACAGATTTGTTTTGTGTTTTGCAAAAACAGCAGGATAGGTGTAACTTGCAACATCGGCAAACCTGATTCATTTTTTCTGATTCATTTTTTCTGATTATTTTTTTCTGTGCTATCTTGTTTAACATTGTTCTTTTTTGCGCATTGCTTTTCACACATTATCAAGTCTGAATCGTCTTTACACCCAAACAAAAGTATCAAATTTTGAGCAGCGAGATTTTAAGAACAAGTACTTCAACAGTTCCTCCAAGGTAGTAGTTCAAAAAAATTTTTCCGTAACAAACCCAGACCTTTTCACAGCAAGGTAAAGCTTCAACTTTTTTTAGACTTTCAAGCGGTTTTTAACAACAACATAACTTTCACGAGCCGGATACATTCACGTCTCCTTTTATTTTTACTTGATCGCTTCAGCTTCTCCAACTTGCAACACCTTCGATTTTAGAGTTAACTTGTTCAGCAGTAGCACTAGAAAGCAGGCATTGTTTTTCTCGTTTTTCAAAGCAGGTCCTTTTTCAGAAGCCAAACCAGCTCCGCCAAGTTGTGGCTTTTATTGAAGTTGCGCTAGACACATGAGAAGAAGCGTCACTTTGCTTTCAAGCGGTTCCATTTGACCATCCTCAAAAAGCACAAACAAGAACAGGATGTAGCGCTTGCTTTTTTTCAGTTTGGCATCAGATTCAGACCTACATTTTTTCATGTGATCAACAATTTTACTACAGTTTTATCATACGTCCTCCAAGAGCAAGAAGTAGCCCTTCTCACTCTTTCTCTTGTTTGGCTCTCCCCAGCACTTTTCGTTTTCGATTTTATATGCGTTAGTTTAACAAGTCACAAAAACCTATCTGCAACGCGCCACTGAGTGCCTGTTTTGTGTTATGTGATCCCCCAAAGCACCTTCGCCAGATGTTAGTGCGGAAAAAAGACGAGTTTTGCACTACAAATGTGCGACCCACGACTATCATAGTGGATGTGGAGGTAAAGATCCGTCTTTCCGTCCCATTGAAGAATTTGCTCATGAGCAATGTGATTGTCGGTGCAGCAGAGCCGCCGGTGAAGGGAAAAGTGTCTCGTTTGCGAACCGTCAGCAGCATCCCTGCTCTCTTCGCACTCGAACGACACACGCACGCAGGTAGATTTTCAAAACTTGTTTTGACACAACTACGTATATATTCGCATCCCAAGGTTGTTCCCCAGTACATTATCCCGCGCAGAAAAGATCAAAAGCCTACTGCTAAGAAAAGTACGGCCTCGTGGTGCCGCCCGATGCGGTTGCGAGAAAAGCAGATAGAACAAGAAGAGATTTTGTGTTCTCCTCGATCTTCGTGGCCCCCTTGTTCTGTGAGCCGCAGGACACGCCACAGGATCAACTTTCGAGGTTCCTCCTGGAGGACCAACGGATGCTAGCAGATGGGATTTTGCAAGTCAGGCAAGACAGATGGTCGCGTGACCCACGGCACGCATTACAAATAGGATCTTTTATTTCAGACCCAGACATATTTGCAGTCGATAGCACGTACCTCAAAGCGATTTTGGGTTTGGGGAAGGAAATCAAGGGCGAGATCAAGTGTCTACAGGTGGTGGACTGAGAAGTTTCTGCTCCGGCTCGTGCGGTGTAATTTTTTTGATTTATTTATTCCATAGACATAGTGGTCATGGTCATGGACCTAGACGTAGACCCGGCGCTTCTGGTTCTGCAAGGGAAATGAAATCCTTTTTTGAGTACGGTATTGTGGTTTAATGCTTGTTTCAACGTAACAAACTAGAACTACCCTGTAGTGATCTCCCTCTACTAGGAGGTGCGCTCTTGCAAAACAAACTTTTCAAAATGCAGTTTTTTTGTCTGTCTCCAAAAAACTGTTGTACCGCCGCACCAACGAGTGCGAGCATACCGAACGGTAATATTCTGATCTGTTGAGGAGGTGTCTATTCCCATTCCCTCCACTATTTTCAGAATAATTCAAAAAGAAAAGTTTTTGATCAAGCAGATGACAATCCTTCTTTCAAGGATCTTTTGTCTACTTCCACGCAAAATCGTCGACGAAGCATAGATACCAACGCCGCTGTCGTGGATCGTGTTCTTCGCGGCTGCATGGTCAATGGTGTAGTTGTGCTTTATGCTCGGTGTAGTATTTTGAGATTTTGTTTCTCGGTGTGATTTCTTTCGTACTCGTGTCGTTCCTCATCCTCAACGCCGTAGTCCGTCGTCGTCCAGATAAGTGACTCTTCGTCCACCTTCTAGATGTGTTGCTGCTCCTCTTGTACTTGTACCACGAGAAGCATCGGTTCGTGCGCGCGTTCCTGCCTTTGACAGTCGTGCTTGTCGTCTTTCCGCTTCGCGGTGCTGTACAACTGGGACTGACTTGCAGGAAGAACTGCGTTCCTGCCGTGCAGTGTCATGCCCTTCGTAGCTACTTTTGGTCTACTAGCTCTACTTCAAAATGATGAATAAGTCAGGCTCAGGCAGACCTGCGTCTCCTGTTTCGTTCCCTCTTTTCGTTGCACTCACTTTTCGTTTTCTTAGAAAAAATTTCGCGGTCAGAACTCATCCAAGGTGGTCCAGTGGGACGTTTTCGCAGCAAGTACGGGCGCTCATCATTTAGATTGTGCCTCAATTCTCTTTCGTGAAGGTAGGACAATATATCAGCATAGTAAATACCAACCTAGTAAAACCCAATTTAGAAAAAGAGCGTCAACCATGGCACTTTCGGGCAGCGCGACGTCGTCTTCGCTTCCGCGCTCCGACAGGGGGTGGCACAAGCAAGGAACAAAGAGTTTGAGAAGCAGGCTGGGGTCGTCTTTTTCGGTTTTTTTCATTCAAGCCACCGCGATTACCGTGAAAGTGGTACAGAAAAAGAACGCGGGTCGTAGCGGGCGGGGGAGAGGGGCGGCAGGCTCGCCGCCCTTGTTGTATCATCCCCGGACAGGAAGAACCGCGAAGTCGTCAAAGGAAGACCTCCGGCACAGCGTCGCAATGGTGGAGGACCCGAAGCGATTGCCGGACGACCGTGGGTCCTCGTCGTCTTTCCCTCGGTCGCGGACGAAAACGGATGCAGCCGGGAGGGGCGGCTTTGCGGAGCTTTCGGCTAGTGCCAAAACACAAAACACGGAGGAAGCCGACGACGGCGACGGCCGTTGTTTGCCCGCATACAAACATCACATGCTTTCGCACATGTACTGGGACAGCGAGGGGACAAATGACCGAGACTGGCAGGACACGTCGGGCTGGGAGGATTGCCGCGAGAAGTGCAAGGACAGCGCGCTCTTCGCGGACGCCGCTAATGATCAGACAAAGCGGTGCGGCGCCTGGCACGCGTCCGTGCCCGAGGATTGGAAAGCTACGGACGAAGCCCAAGACCGACCATACGTGTATTGCCGCCACTACAACTTTGCCTATATCAAGGAGGCTCGAGCGGACAATCCCACCGCATTCGGGGATTTGCTGCCGACGCGGATTGACCCCGCGGGCGAGCCCTGGGAAGGGGACGACGCCCCGTTTGCCGACCACAACCCGATCGTGCATTGGAACGGGGAAGATGTGGGAGACACCTGGTACAGTGGGTATTGTATGCGTTCGCCGAGCGGACAGTGGACGGTTCCCGCTACTGGTGCAGAGAAGGAGTCAGAAATCGTACCTGCCGAGGCGAGCCTCGCTACGGGTGAGGTTCCTCCCGCAGACTCGCTGCCGTGCGACAACTGGTTCGCATCCCTGTCCGATGTTGCAGAAGAATACCGAATCCCAAAGGCTCAGTGCAAATATTTTGATCGTTTGGCCATTTGCTCCGGGCTCACATGGGACAAGGACCAAACTTTTCCCGGGGCCCAGCAGCTCATCACCAACAGTATGGACAAACCCTGCTCGGAGCAGTGCAAATGCAGCGACAGCCCACTAAATGTCGTCGAAATCATCTCGGTCCTCAATTTGCCCACGGTCGATGAGGATGAGAAGCGGCAGTGTCTGGAGCCCATCAAAGGTGCGCGTCCGGCGCGCGTGGGTGCCGCAATGTTGAACTTAAAGGGCGAAGCAGTGAAAAGTCCACCGGCCGCGACCCTTTCCGGGGCAGATACGGCACACGCAGACACGGAAGAGAAATGCAAGAGTGCGTGCTTCGACAAAGCTGAGTGTGTGGCCTGGCACTTTCAGATGGACCATATGCTGTTGTGTAAAAACGCGCCCACCCTTCAAGCAGAAGACCCGAAATTGGTGTAGATACTCGCTTGCTAGTACATGACTTCCACTGCCAAAAAAAGAAAAACGGCTTTGTCTACATGCATGAAACAAATGGGTTCGTAGCGTATTCGGGGTTACTTTGCGTGGTAGCATCACAAATCCATTTACCCCTGTACGCTGGTGATTACACAGATTGTCTGACTCCGTAGTAAGCACTAGAGGAACTACACAAAAACCCACTAGTGGGGAGCCGCATGAGAAACGGTTGCTATTCACATATCCCGGATACATCTGGGGTAGGTACGGTTTTACACAGGATGGACCACTCGGATTCGTCTGCAGAACCAGCAGGAGCGTCGTGTGCGCTTTGGACCGATGGGGAGGTCGTGACAGGCACGGATGTGCCACAAACTTCAGAGGAGTGCACGAAGCAATGCGCTGACAGCGACACGTGCCGCACAGCAAGCTTTGTTGGTGAACACTGCCTGTTCAAGTATGCAGGAAAGGAGTACTTGTGCGCTCAGGATACGAACTACGACGCCGCGACCTGCCCATCTCTGCTTCTGGACACCACGCAGGAAGGAGATGCGGGCTCGGCGGTTGGATTTTGCGTGCCTGATTTCCGGGAAAAAGGGACGCTTTCGCTCGTGTCCGATTCCGGGACTTCAGGCCGTAGCTGGACGTATGGGGAGGAAGCAGGAGTGCCGTCGTGGTACGTGGACGGGGCAGCGCCCTGTCTCACAAAGTGTATCACGCCTGAAGACGAGCCGAACTACACGTGCAAAGACGCGCGTCAAGGGCGATGCGACGCTGATGAGGACAGCACGGCAGCGCTCTCGCTACCCTGTGATTCGCGACGCACGCGCGATTCCTTCGAGCGCATGTACGATTCCTTCGGGCTTTTTGCGTACAATTTGCCGCCGGGGGGCGACACGCTTTATGCCTTTGCAGAAATGTCACATCATACTTGTGCCGCTTTCGACCACCAGCGCAACTGCGTGACGGCCTTTGCTCCCCAGGACGACGACGGCGGTATTGCCGACCTCGTGGTGAACAAGCGTCCGAAAACACATCCGCGCGATATGTACGAGGCGGCCCAGATAAGCTTCAATTTGGGACTGAATGAATGTGCTCTGCAGTGTGGTTGCGTGACATGGCTTTCGTGTCCATCGACCGGCACCGATTCCAGCGGTGCGGCCGTCGCGTTCGAACTCGTGAAGGGGAAAAAGGTCCATTCCTCGGGGGCCTACAGTACCACGGACCTCGGGGACTCGGCCGACCTCGGTGCGTGCGCTGATCAGTGCGCGCAGGATGAGGAGTGCGCTGCGTTCTCGGGCCATCGGAGCGCCGTCGTGGCTTCCGGACAGGGGGAGGCCGCGGCAGCCACGGCCACGGTACAATGCAGGCTGCACTCGCAAGCAACTGTGGATGACGCGGACCTCGTGACAGACATGCCAGCAGGGATGGACAATGTGTTTTGCCGACGAGGCGTGCCTCAACTACCAGAGCGGCCTACGGCCACCTGTCCCGGGCAGGAAATCCAGGTGGGCACCAGCACGGCCACTTTCGAAGCGAGTACGGAGGCAAAGACGATCAGCGCGAAAATGGCCTCCAGTCCGACCGACCAACAGACGGTGTCGCAGTGCGCGAACTTGTGCGCGCAGTCGCAGGAGCAGTGTGTCGCCTTCTCGTATGCGACGAGCGAACAGGAGTGCAACTTGCACAGCCAAAAAAATCTGGACGACGCCGCGGGTGCAGAAGCGGATCCGACGAAGATCTTGTGCGAAATGACGATCGAAGGGGACGATGGCTCGGGGAACGACGGCGAGGCGGAAAAGCCACCTTCGGTATTGCCCGTCAGTAACGTCACCCCTACTACGACTAAAAAAAAAAATGCTTTCGCGATACTTTTGTCCAGGTAATACTGAGAGACTCTAGGGGGCAAAAAATACGTACTCACTAGTGATACATTGTGTGCAGGAGCTGCGCAGGAGAATACCCCTGCGAACAAGTTACCCGATGCAAGTTCGGCACCTTTTGCATGCCTAAGAGAGGAGGGTACTATTTGAGTATGCGTCATGACACGAATGACAAATGTAGAGCGCTGCATGAAATTATCCCTTGATACTCCTCACGGACCTCGACCTTCCAGAAGCAAAGAGCTGCTAATGGCGGCAGCTAGAAGTACCACCGGCGATACGGCTCTGCACTATAAATCATGTGCATTTTCTTGCACGACCCGGACCCTCACGACCGACGTTGCGACACACCTCGTATTCATCTCTGCCATGGCATCTTCCACCTCTTCAAAGTGGAGCAGATTTGTTTTGTGTTTTGCAAAAACAGCAGGAAAGGAGGTGTAACTTGCAACATCGGCAAACCTGATTCATTTTTTCTGATTAAGTTTTTCTGTGCTATCTTGTTTAACATTGTTCTTTTTTGCGCATTGCTTTTCACACATTATCAAGTCTGAGTCGTCTTTACACACAAACAAAAGTATCAAATTTCGTGCAGCGAGATTTTAAGAACAAGTACTTCAACAGTTCCTCCAAGGTAGTAGTTCAAAAAAATTTTTCCGTAACAAACCCAGACCTTTTCACAGCAAGGTAAAGCTTCAACTTTTAGACTTTCAAACGGTTTTTAACAACAACATAACTTTCACGAGCCGGATACATTCACGTCTCCTTTTATTTTTACTTGATCGCTTCAGCTTCTCCAACTTGCAACACCTTCGATTTTAGAGTTAACTTGTTCAGCAGTAGCACTAGAAAGCAGGCATTGTTTTTCTCGTTTTTCAAAGCAGGTCCTTTTTCAGAAGCCAAACCAGCTCCGCCAAGTTGTGGCTTTTATTGAAGTTGCGCTAGACACATGAGAAGAAGCGTCACTTTGCTTTCAAGCGGTTCCATTTGACCATCCTCAAAAAGCACAAACAAGAACAGGATGTAGCGCTTGCTTTTTTTCAGTTTGGCATCAGATTCAGACCTACATTTTTTCATGTGATCAACAATTTTACTACAGTTTTATCATACGTCCTCCAAGAGCAAGAAGTAGCCCTTCTCACTCTTTCTCTTGTTTGGCTCTCCCCAGCACTTTTCGTTTTCGATTTTATATGCGTTAGGTTAACAACTCACAAAACCCTATCTGCAACGCGCCACTGAGTGCCCGTTTTGTGTCGTGTGATCCCCCAAAGTAGCACCTTCGCCAGATGTTAGCGCGAAAAAAAGACGAATTTTGCACTACAAATGTGCGACCCACGACTATCATAGTGGAGGTAAAGGTCCGTCATTCCGTCCCATCGAAGAGTCTGCTCATGAGCAATGTGATTGTCTGTGCAGCAAGGCCTCCGGTGAATGGAGAAGTGTCTCGTTTGCGAACCGTCAGCAGCATCCCTGCTCTCTTCGCACTCGAGCGACACACGCACGCAGGTAGATTGTTGAAGCAAGTGTCTTCAACACTCGCACTCGAGCGACAAAATCGCCTCCAGTCCGACCGACAAACAGACGGTGTCGCAATGCGCGGACTTGTGCGCGCAGTCGCAGGAGCAGTGTGTCGCCTTTTCGTATTCGTCGAACACACAGGAGTGCAGCTTGCACAGCGAAGAAAACCTGGACGGCGCCCCGGGTGCGGAAGTAGATCCGACGAAGATCTTGTGCAAAATGTTGACTATCGAATCGGGAGGGGGGGGCGACGGCTATGTGGACGACGGGTCGGGGGACGATGGCTCCGGGAACGACGGCGAGACGATGGGTCGGGCACCTCCGGTACGGCCCATCAGCGTCACCCCTACTACGACTCAAAAAAAATGCTTTCGCGATACTTTTGTCCAGGTAATACAGAGAGACTCTAGAAGGGGGCAAAAATTACGTACTCACTAGTGATACATAGTGTGCAGGAGCTGTGCAGGAGAATACTCCTGTGAACAAGTTACCCGATGCAAGTTCGGCACCTTTTGCATGCCAAAGTGAGGAGGGTACTATTTGAGTATGCGTCATGACACGAATGACAAATGTAGAGCGCTGCATGAAATTATCCCTTGATACTCCTCACGTACCCCGACCTTCCAGAAGCGCGGTGCTGCTAATGGCGGTAACCAGCACCTGCGGCGAAACAGCTTTGTACTAAATCATGTTCCTTTATTTTTTGCACCGACACAACCGTGTCTATCGAGAGGCCTGTTGGGTCCCGGAGGGCCTACTGGGACAAATTATGTATACGTCATCCTATGCCGACACACAACTCTTCAGACGGGACTAGACCTAGTGGGCAAAAGACAGCAATAATGTTGAAAGATGGCCCACGAGCGATCTGCTTGCAACATGCTGCTCTCTTCGCATTCGAACGACACACGCACGCAGGTAGATTTTCAGAACTTGTTTTACCACAACTAAGTACTTACTTGCATCTACTAAGAGGAATTTTCTGGGAATTGGGAAAATTGAAAAAAATTCGTCCCTCCTTCGCTGCCCCGCTATATCAAGAAGCACCGTTGACACACGCTGCCCCGGTCGGATCTGTTCGCGCTACAGGGAGGGTGTCTGGATGTCCTTCCTGGGAAGGCCGCCACCCTGTAGCCGTGTTGCACCAGGCCAATGCTATACGACTAAAAGCCCGGGCACCATGCGGCGGGGCGTCCCAGATTTAGCATTTGCAATGGGTAGGGGTCGCTTTTACCTAGGGGCCCCACGCCCGGCCCCTGCGCCTTGCAATATTTCGACGAATTGACGAAGGAGCACCCTAGCGAAGATGCCGCAGCCGGCCTCAACTCAGGCACTTGGCTTGCGGACTCAGGTGCGGTTTCAGGTGATTCACACCACCAATCACGATGGCTCTGCGCGTTTTCAATTTTCCGGGAAAACTCGGAAGGGGGGGGCGGAGGGGGGGTCCGGAAGGGCCCGGAACGGGGGGGCGGTTTACGGGCTCCAAATCGTGTCCGTGCCGTCGTGCTTTCAATTTTCCGGGAAAACTCCGAGGGCCCCCCCGCGGGGGGGTTCTGGGCCGCCCCCCTCCGGAGGCCTCCGCCCCAAAAAGTGGGCCACTTTCAATGCGAAAAAGTGGGGTCAAATGAGGTTCTTTACGCTCTCTTCGCACTCGAGCGACACACGCACGCAGGTAGATTTTCAAAACTTGTTTTGACACAACTAAGTATATAATCGCTTTCCGAGATGTTGAAGTTATTCGTACCTCCACCCCGCAGAGGACAAGAGTCTACTCTTCTTTCTCAACCCTCTGTCTATCACCCTCCTCGACTACGAAGATACTTGCTGGCATGCAACAGATTCTAACGGACAAAGTCGTCTTCTTTTCTTTTTCCCCCAGCCCCAATCCCCTCTCCAGAATAGTACAATGTCTCAGATCCGCTGAAGCATGCGATTGCTCTTCGATTTCGGCCAGCAGCGCAAGGCTCGCGAAAAAGCCGTTCTACTTGCGGTTTTTTTCTCCTCTGCAGTGGCCATGAGTACTACATGCACAGCAACGAGGCACGTGCAAATTTGTCGTTCCGTCACTTTTGTGGTGCCATCGTTCAAAACAATCGTCCTGAGTCGTGCCACCCTCGTCTTCGTGCAAGCCCGATGTTCATAAATATGTCCGAAGAAGTAGAAGGCTTCTATGGTTCGCGTGCTGCCTTTCCACGTCTCGGCTGGCCGTTTTCGGCCATAGCGTTTTTTTTCGTTATTTGTTGGTAGGAAATTGAATCGGAATCCAATCGGATGTAAAGCTGCTCAAGTAGCACCAGGAAGAGTAGCACCCCTCTAGCTCTACTCGTTCTACCCGAAATATTTACACGCGAGCCGGCTTCGTCTCCTTAATGGAGAAAGAAAAGCACGATTCAACATCTTTACAAAGGCATAATTTTCTTGATTGACGCATTGGCGAAGTTGTTCCATTCATTCAGACCGCCAGCAGTTGCAGTTTTCATTTCAGATTCGCTTGTTCTTCCCGGACGCGGCGGCCATGATGACGCTGCGGCGCACACCAGTACGGAGATGTTATATCGCGAGTGCTTGTCGCGCGTTCTTCTGCGTCGACCCCCTCTGGTGCAGTCTATGGAACGATTCTGTCCTTCCTGCCGTCCGCGGCCACATGATGTACTTGAGAAGACTTCCTAACGGCGTCCAGCTGTATGACCTGCAGCGAGGTGGGGCCGACGTGGATGCGTCGGGCCAGCCGTGGTACCCGCGCAGGGGCTTGGGGCATGTAGACGGCGAAGGGGGGAAATTAGATGCTGCAAGACGCGGTAGCGGTTTTGGAGAAGATTTCAAGGCACAGAGTAACAAGTACACCAGTAGCACGAGGAAAAATCTTCATCCTTCCGCCTCATATCAGAATAAATTGGAGTTGTATAGTAGGGACCTACTAGCATGACGTGTGTAGTACATATTGCACAAGAATAAATCATTCTGATTATAATCCTGCCGGCAGATAATTCTGATTGAGCACTATGGGGATGGCGGTGGTTCTTTTTGCCTAGGATAACGAAGGAGTTTTGCGAACTCGACTCGGACGGCGACGGCATGACCAATGGCCTCGAGCTCGGCGACCCGTGTTGTGAATGGGATCTTGCGACGTACGGGGATGCAACGGATTTATGGCCCGGCGGCCGGACCGATCTGTCGACCTTGACGCAGCCCGGCTTGGCGGACGAGAAAAGTGTCGTGGACGCGCAAAACGCACTGTATGGCAAGGCGGTGGTGTGCACCACGGAGACGGACCAGGGTCTCGGAGCGGCAGCCGCGGAGGGCACGGAGAGCACGCAAGAGCAGGGCGGCGGTGCGGAGAGTGGAGATTGGGCGGACACGGGTACTAGTGGCGGAAACGAGGAGCAGGGCAGCAGCGACACCAAGGGAGGGGCCGCGGGGGCGGGCGACACAAAATCGAATTCCAGCTCGAAGAATGAGGGCGGTGGCGGTTTCTTGTGCTGCTAAAGAAGTAGCAGACGTCGAATCATCATAGCATTTGACTACATGATAAAAACCATGCTGCTCTCCTGACACGGGCATGTCCAAATACTTTTTTTCTCGAAACATAATTTTGGCAGTTCTTCGCACTCGAGCGACACACGCACGCAGGTAGATTTTCAAAACTTGTTTTGACACAACTACGTATATATTCGCATCCCAAGGTTGTTCCCCAGTACATTATCCCGCGCAGAAAAGATCAAAAGCCTAGTGCTGAGAAAAGTACGGCCTCGTGGTGCCGCCCGATGCGGTTGCGAGACAAGCAGATAGAACAAGAAGAGATTTTGTGTTCTTCTTGATCTTCGTGACCCCCGTGTTCTGTGAGCCGCAGGACACGCCACAGGATCAACTTTCGAGGTTCCCCCTGGAGGATCAAGAACGGATGCTAGCAGATAGGATTTTGCTACAGTTCCCTGGGTGGCCGTCTCTGCACCTGCAGCAAAAAAAGCATACGGACTTGACCTCAAACATGAAGATCTCGGGATTTCAATTTCCATTTCGGAGAATGATCAAGAGAGGAGCGTCGAGGGAGTTGACGTTCCAGGTCTACACATGGCTCACGAACCGCACCCACGCCATATGTGTAGACGGCCAGATTGTGCGACGGTGGTCGCCCCAGGTGGGTATGGGGCAGGGCCCCAGGATCCCACCCCTGCTGTGGTGCATTTTCTTGGGAGAGCCAATCGAAAAATTGGACCCGAGAGTAATCACCTTCCGGCCCGAAGTTTTCGCGGACGACGTCCTTTTGTTGTTCTCCTTCCCCGCCGGGGAGTTCACAGCGAAGAAAGCAGAGGCAGAGGCGTACTTGCTCAAGTGGCAAGCGGAAACCGGGCTGGTCTTCGGGAAGGTCGGCTGGCTCAAAGCCACCAGCGGATCTACATCGGAGAGCGAGATGATGGAGTATCTCGGCTTCCTGCTCCAGTCCTGCGGCAAAACGCTGAAGGAACTGGAGAAGAGGCAGGTGCGGATCGCATCCGCGGCGAAGAAGCGGGACGCGGTCGAGAACAGCGCACGGACCCCGAGCGAGGACATCCAGTACTGGAACGAGAAGTGCCGGTCGCAATTGAGCTACGCAGCGGCGGCGCTGTTCCTTGGGGTCCAGGACAACGCCAAGGCGCTGGAGGACTTCAGGGGTGTTGTCGCAAGGGCGCTGAGGTCGGTACTGGGGCTATCAAACACATTTCCGTTTGCAGCGGCGTTCCGTTTGATCGGGATGGCGGACCCCGTGGAGATTTTGAAGGTCGAGCAAGAAGCCATGGAATTTTATCTCCAGGGCAGTTTCGGAGAATTCAAGGTTTCACGGGGTGAGATCTACGCTCTACCGGAATGGTACGATGAAGAGCGGATTGAGGTGGTGGACGCGGCCCAAGCCTACAAGGACTTCGGGTTGCAGCACGGACAAGAGGAGAAGCTTGCAGAAGAAATGAGCAAGAAGTTCGACGCCGGTAACTGCCCGCAAAACACTCTGCGGGCAAGCACAGACGGTGGAAAAGGGCCGGAAGGTGCTGCCCGGGAGACGCCGGACCACTTGATGCGGGCCTGCTGCTACATTGAGACGGACCAGGGTGGGGCTGCTAAGGTCTGGATGGTCTGGTCGGAATTGCTCGGCTACGACGCGGAGGTAATAGCGCTGACACAACTGCTAAAATGGCTGCTGGATGAGACCAGGAGCAGCCACACAACCATCCAGATATTCATAGACAACAGCATGGTCCTGCAGTCCCTCAATAACCCCAAGAGCCGGGAGGAGGCGATGAAGAGGCTCCGGGAGCTGATCAACGACCTCCTGAAACAATTCCCAACCGTCAGCATCCTCATACATTGGGCGCCAGCACACCGCCGGTTCCGCCTCAACTGCATTGCGGACCTACTGTGTAAGCAGATGAACGGGTGTGAAGCGGAGCTGCCAGAAGTGCAGCCGATCAGTAAGATGCGCCTCAAGTACCTTGTCAAGGAGGAGAGGAGGGCAAACCTGCAAAACCATGTAGGAGGACCAGTGGAAGAGAAGACCACGCTTTGCAGAGGGCAAAGAATAAAAGCACTGGGAAGAGTGCCGCTGGCGGGGCTCTCACCAGCACAGGAACGGGCGGCGATGTCCCTATGGACGGGAGAATCGTACTTGCCGAAATCCCTAGTCACGATCAATAACCGGGGATGGCCCTCCTGCCGGAAGTGCGGGCAGGAACTGAGGGTAAAGAAGCAGGATGCGGCAGGGACATGGGTGAAAGGTTTCCGCACGGGGGAGGAGGAAGACGTGAGGGGTTTCTGTAGGATAGTCGACCACCTCCTCATGGAGTGCGAGACAGTACAAGATGCCGCAGAGTTCAAGGGGCAAGATGTGGTGATGATGATAAAAAAGGGACCAAGAAAGCAGCTGAACAGACTGCTGCATGCAGCGGGACAAACTGGGGAAGCGATACCGGGGGACCACTCCTGGCCGTACTGGCCACGGACGGAGAAGCCAAGTCAGGAGGTGGAGAAGAGAAGCATGCCAGCAGCCTGGGTGGAAACAGCGAGAAACGCCATCAAGAAACGAAGATTATCACAAGAACCAGCGGACGGGGAGGGGCAGTAGGGCTCGCCTGCAGCTCGCGCGTTTTCTCCTTCCTTTTCTAGGCATCGCGGAAAGTATCTTCAAACTCCTGGAACGGGCGGTAACTTCATTTTCCTGGATCTTTACTAGAGGGAAAAAGTGAGCTTACTACCTAGCTCTAGGTACAGGTAGGTAGCAAATTTCTGGATCTTTGTAGAGGAAATACAGCAGCAGCAACAAGATCCGGGGTTTGTTTGTGTCCATCTCAAATGAACAAATTTTTGTTTTTGCTAAGATCTTACTTTCACCTATCGACGTCGCAGGAGTAGCATCAAGATCCGGAAATAGTTTTTGTGTCCACCACTTTGTACATTTTACTTTGCAAAGCACATTCATGTACCAATGCTGTTGAGCACTCAAATGCTGCTCTCACCTGGATCTTTGCCGAGAAACAAGTGTGACAAGATCCGGAAATTGACTTTTCTCTTCTCTTCTGGACAAGTTATAGAAAAGCAAGCGTGTGCGATTGCATTTAGCACGGTATGCGTTGAAAATGTTAGACGAAGTTCCTCCCAGTTTACGCCTATAAATTGTAGATTTCCCTTCACGATCAAGGTAATTTTTGTTGCTTTCTCTTGTTTTTCCACCTTTTCACACAACTTTAAAGCACCAAGTCGATGGATTCTAGGCGTAAGCGGTCAGCATTGCACGAGAAGATCAAGAGGGTGCGCTTTTGCTTTTAGCACGGTACTCGTTGAAAATGTAGTCTATCTACAAGACCCGGAAGACCGACTTTGGGCACGGGTTGTTGCTCCATTTTTCTGGAACTTTGCAAGAGGTAAAAAGAGACCCTACTACCTAGCCATAGGAGCAGGAAGGTAGCACTTTTCTGGATCATTGAAGAAGATCTACTACAGCAGCACCAAGATCCGGAATTTGTTTGAGTCAGCCACAATGTTATTTTTCTTCCCTCTTAGATCTTTCACGTATCTATTTTTCAGCAGCAGCAACAAGATCCGGAAATTGCTTTCGTCTTTCACTTTGTACATTTTTCTTTGACATAATTACTCCTGTACCTATTCTGTTGCACACACACTACCAAGGAAAAAACAAACAACGACCTACAAGAACGAAAAGCTTGAAGAAGAGAAGTTTTGAAGCGCGACCAGTAGCGCTTTTGAAGGTTTCTGCATGGTCGCGCCCTGTTTTCTGGCCACTAGTCGTGTATTTGTCTCGTTTTCGACAACGAACTTCCAAGACTGATAGTGTACAACGAGCAAGAACAGGAGTAGAGCAGACACACCAGGTGGAGACACGCGCCCACCAGCGCAGGTGGGGCAGTAGAGGACTCGTACAGCGAGGCGAGTAATGTAAAAAAAAAAAATCAAGACCGCAAAAAAAAAAGAGAAAAAAAAGGAAAAGAAAGTAAAGCGATCTACAAAAAGAAAACCTGAGAAAAAAAAAACAGAACAGCGCGCGAACTCAGGACGTAAAGACACAGCGGAGAAAAAAAAACAACCAAAGCGCATGAGATAGCAACATAAAAGCGGCAACATCAATAAGAAATAAGACTAGAAAGCTCCCTGTGCAGGTTGATCAAACAAAGCGCGATAAAACTTCGGTTAAGCACGGCGTTTGGAGGATTTCGCATACCTGCGAAGCGCTTGCGCTTTGCGGTCAGGCTCCGGCCAGTTGTCTTGTATTCCAGTCCGACACCTGGCAGCCACCGGAGGCGAAGGGGCTGCCGGGTGGTTGAGTCGGGGGTTAGGTCTCGTGCCATGGATGAGGAGGTAATGGCGCTTGATCTTGAATGCCAGCGGCAAGAGGAGACGTCAACGGCAAACTCCCCCCTGGTGGCCGGGCACTGCTAAAGCGGGCGGTGAAACGTCACTGGGGGTGTAGGAGTGGTTCTTACCACTACTACAGAATCATTTACCACTGAGCATTACACTACAGTATGTGAGAGGCTTTACCGCTCACCTTGAGAAGCGCGCGCGTCATTCAATTTCCATTTCGGATCGGGTGCCCTCGTCTGAGGCGGGCGTGCTTTTTCTGTCTGTGGCAGGCAAAAAAAAACCTGGCAGTTGCTGGTTTGTACAAGAGTTTAGAGAAGGTCAACACACAGAAGAAGAAAAAGAAGATGAACTCGTGCAGATAGTAGATTTCCATTAACAATGTCTTCTTAACACCGGCAAGAAAGGCAAACACAAAGATTTACAACCCTTCACGGTGAGCTGCCAACATGAATATCCAAACCAAAGGTCACACTCGCAACTTCACAAGAACATCATGGCGCAAGAGCAGATATGTTCCAAGCGTGTGCTCACTGTTGCACACTGCATTCATGGTATTTTGTCGTCCTCGTGTAGCTCACTCGCGGTTCTGTGTGTCGTGCGCTCTCGCGTTGCTTGTCACGGACCATCTACCGGAGGGTTTTGTAGTTGCACTATCTCCCGAAACTGCGCAAGTACGAGGGCACGAGGGGGCCCGGACTCATACCGAGGTTGGAGACGACAATAATATCAGCGGCGAAGACGAAGACCACAAGACCCAGTATGATGGCGACGAGCCTGCTGCCCCTATAACGGCCCCGTCATCTTCACCTTCTGCCGGCACTCCCGCGCCCTTCGATACGCGACACGGGGCGATTCGGGCCTGGCGCGACCGGGAGCTGCGGGCGCTGCTACGTAGGTCTGACAGGAATAAAGCGACTCGCGCCAATGCGGAGCAGGCTAGCGGTACTGTTAAAGCAGCCGGGGTTGTAGACGTAGAGCAAGGAGATCAAGATCACCTGCGAGAGGAGGCGGGGAACCACGACGACATCGAAATGGAGCAAAGCGCGAGCGGTGCTCCTGCGGATGCGTCTCTACAACCTCACTTGGCGGCGTCGGAGCCGGAGCTGTTGCTTCAAAATATCATCAACACCTTCCCGGGTCCGGACACGTGCGAGCCGCAGACGTTCTCGTTTCTCATCCAGGACTATGACCTGAATCCCTTTTCCTACGACTACTCCTGCGTCGTCGCCGAGACCTACGCTCTATGAGAGTGAAGAACAGGTTGCGCTGCTCCCCCTGCTCCGCATTTGCTACGCAAAGTGTCAATTTGTCCTATCCTATGCCTATCTCTGCCTTGTGACAGTATTGTTAGTTTGTACTACCGTCTGCAAAAGTCTCAATGCCCTTAAAATTTTGAGTTGGTGGGGGAGAGGTTGTCTACTTCCATATACACTGGTGGAGACGTGTCTGGCGATGTGCTGTATGCATTGCAAATATAATGTCTCAGCTGCCGCTACGAGAAGTCGAACTGAAGGATAATAAAGATCTGTGATCCAACGGACCACAGATTCGTCAGGAAGATTGTGATCCAACGGACCTTCAGCAGGAGGAGCGACTTTTTTGCCATGTAGTGGAGGCGGGGTAGTTGTCATGGAAATGGGATGAAGTAGGAATACGGATGAATTCGACTCAAACAACCGAGCAAAGAAACTTACCATGCTTGTTTCATGCCGTGATCGTGAAAAAAAGCACAGAATACCTAATGCGAGACTTCTCAGCAAGAGGACAAATCGTGTAAGTACGTATCGTGTGTACGTATCCAGGCCCCCCCGACATGCTATTTGCACTTCATACGCTACTTTTTCAATGCCGTGGTGGCGCACGACTATTACCAGTGTGTGAGCGACGTGAAAGCCGAGCACCAGGAGAGGCTTGGCACGCCGCTGGACGTGATCAATAACTGGAGCAGCACGGAAAAGCAGCGGCACTACCAGGCTTGTTCGTCCGAGATGTTTCTCGATAAGTACGTGAAACAGCAGCGTTCGCCGGTGGTGCGCGGCGAGCACGGCCTGCCCCCGGCGTTTTCCAAATTGGTCAAGGACATCGACAGCCGCTGCCTGAAAAAAGTGCACTTCGACCTGGACACTGCGGTGGTGGAGTGGACCCGGCAGATCCACGCGATCCGGCTCCGGCAGTTGGGGTCCGCGCGGGCGCTGGAAGTCGACAAAAACCAGGGCAAGGTTGTCCAGTCGCTGCCCCTGCATCCGACGCACGCCTCGAAGTTCTGGATGATGAGCCTGAGCTACGCCTGGATGGTGCTCATCGAGCTGTACCACCTCAGTCGCCACAAGGCTACGCATCGTGATAGACGTGGTGCCTACTTCGTCAGGCGTGGCAGGGAGAAAGCGGTGGTGTATTTTGAACGTCGGTAGAAGATAAAGACTACAAGATGTGCTGTCGCGGCCGAGGAGCAAGGGAACTCTTCTTGTTTTTTTGAAGAAGCTTGTGCTAAATTGTTTTTTTGAAGACTCAGCTTGAAAAGGCCGATTTTTTTCATGTCTATCGAACCATGCGGCGCCGCTCGTCGGCTTCGCTAAGTTGCAATTCCTGAGCAAGAGGGAGCATGTGAGAAAAGAAAGTTGTGCATTTCCGCTTTCTTCCTTGGCGCTGACGATTAAAGGCCTTTTTTCCCCCTCCACAAAGGCGGTCAACACGCAGTTTGATCTTTCGCAGAACTTCCGCCTCGAGCGCAAGGCCACCGACTTTTACAAGCGGAAGTTCGCCGTGTGTGAGCTATTGCGGGACGTCGTGGCGCAAAGACTTCGGCGCAGGCGCAAAAGTTGGAAAATGGAAAATATATAAAGCTTAAACGATGTTTTTCTTCTCCCTTGTACTGGAAAAGATTAGGTCGGATCGATCTTGCACATTGCACTCCTGTAAATTTCATCGAAGAAGGACCGACAGGGCGGCTTTGGTAAGCCCCGCTTCTAGTGTTGCAGTTCTTGCATGTTGTCCTATGTGCAGCGTCGAAAAATACTACATTCACATTGACTTCTTCTGATGCGATGCTATTATTTTTAGTACCACCTCCAGTACTGGTGCCCAGTCATGATACGTTTTTTTCATCTTTTTCCCTTGCATATCACAAAAACAGCGGTCGAGATGAACGCACCCGGACTTGTTGCAATAAAACCACGTAGATCATCATCCGCGGAAGTAGTCGACGAGGGCCAGGTTGGAGAGCTTGAAAACCGAGAAAAGACGAGCGACCAGAAATGCGCTTCGAGTGGTAAGAACACGAAGAACGTCTGTCGTCGGTTCGGAGATCACGAAGTAGACCACCACGTCGACCACCGCTACGACACCTACGGGAAGAAAAAGCGACGGCGATTTATTGCGCATCTTCAAAGCGACGGAGAGCAAGAAGAGGGCAAACGTGAGGTGGACCCGCTGGGTTCTATCGTCCCAGGAGGAATAAAGATGAAGAAGAATTCCTCGTCGTCTCCCGTGAGGTCATCGTCTGTGTATGGCATGACGCGCGCGCGGCGGTGGAGCCCCGGAGGGGATGGAAGTACCTTTTCTACGCCGTCTTCGACTACCTCTCATCGGAACAAACAGACAAGGAACGAAAGCCCCACAGGTTCTACTGGCCGAACCAGAAGTACAGATGGCGATGATCATCATAAAGAGGCCCCAGAAGGAGAAGTGCTGGATGCACCTGGGGTTTTGAGAATCAAAATCGCGGAGATAGGGGTGTTCCACGGCGAGACGAGCTTGCACCAAATTAAACACTGCGCACCCTTGCTCGGCGAGGAAGACCATGTAGAAGGTAGTGTAGGTGAAATAACTCCTTCGGCTACTACAAATGATCCTGCGTCAAAGGATGAAGATGCGAAGGGTCGTTACGACGAAGATGAGTACGATGATCTCTCCACAACCACGGGGGCGGAGACAAAGCCTCAGATAGTTTTGGAGTACCACCTGATCGATCCTTGGCGGGACCGGGAGCTCGAGTTTGAATCCATGAAGGCTTTTCTGGAGAATATCCTGAGTAAAAACGTCCCCACACCAGAGTCAGGATGGGGATTTTGCAACACAAACCTAGGAGTTTTGCGAGTCACGCATGACAAATTGCATTCCGCAGTGTAGTGCTGGTTAGCAAGTGCAGCCGCATCACAGATTCATCTGCTCATCCTGTTCACAGCATCACAAATTCGAAGACACGACTGGAAATGGCTCTCATGGGGATGCGCATTACAAGTCTTCCTGTCTTTGCAAATCTGCATTACAACTCTGGTTTGGGTGCGTTTTTATTCAGGATAGAGAACGAAAACCCGGAATACCTCCAGGACCTCTTGCAGGAGCAGGGGGTAGGGCGCGAGAACATGTTCACAGGAGAAATTTATCCCTCCTGGGAGGAGAAGCTTGTCGAGGCTTTTTTGGCAAGATCTGAGGCGGGAAACCGAAACAACAGCTACAAAAGGGGGAGGAAAACCAGAAAGACGGGCGAGAATGATCGTCGTCCTTCGGATGGGGACAGTACTACCGAGATTGGCGGACCTGATGAAATGGGCGAAAAGCTAGATAGCTTTACCGTTCCAGAGGAACATCAACCATCAGCACAACAAGTAGAAGACGCCCAAGATGACCTGGACGATACGCGCGTGGCGTACGAGGTCGCGGGAAACGAACGGAAAATGATCACGAAGCTATCCTGTGTGACATATGGATTTCCTGTCATCCAAAAATCCATTTTCTCTGCCATGAAGGTTGCTTGTAGTACCGACCGCACTTCAGCTTTTGTTGGGGCGTGTAAGCCGCCCGGTGACGAAGAGTTGGTATATCTAGTACGTTTAAGCTGCAGGTTAGAATTATTTCAGGTGGGCGTGGGCAGCACAACTCTGAGTCTGGGTGGTGGTGCGTTATTGGACAACTCATGGGCAAAGGGCATGCTATCCCAATTGTAACACATGATAAACTCCCCTTTCGATCGAGACTTCGGGCGACTGGAAAACCAACAATCCCCGGATGCCGGTATCACACAGAAAAAAGTACTACTGGAACGACCTTGCCGCATAGTATCTTTCTTCGTTCTTCACAGACCCGATTCAATCAAAGCCAAACCGATGTCATATCAGCATCGAAGGAACAAAGTTTATGCCAGACAGAGTCCGCAGGCCTCTTTCAGTTTCCCAATAAGCACGTAAAGCAGATCATACTGCTGCCTTTAATAGTGCACTGTAACAAGAAGTGCGCAATTTCTTTCTGTGTGATAGCCGAAGACGTTCGAGAACGAAAACGTTTTCAAGTGGAAGAATGTGGAGCGAAACAAGAAAATTACGGGGAAGCTTGTTCTGAAGAAGTTGATCAATGAACTGCTTCTGGAGCCAAACGTGGACGAATTGGTGCTGGTGGATGACTATTTCCCAGGAGCTGATCAGGGCGACGCAATTCAACACGAGGCGAACCGCGCAGATGAGCACCAGGTCATGAATGGTGGGCCTGGTCGTACTGATAATTTAGCAAATCCAAATTCTGCTAGAGGAAGTACCCGAATGAATACTTCCTCGTCCGGGGGGACTGCACCACAACGAAGAGCAAAGAAAGTGTCTCTCTCAACAACAATGTCCTCTAATTTGACTTTGAAAGGGAAGGAGGCTGATTTTGATGCGGATCTTCGCGTCAAGGTTTTTCTCCACCGGACCTCTTCGTTGGTCGCGAGCGAGCAGTTCTTTTCCGGCAAGGTCGTCGGACGAGAGGGACCGCGTGACCACGATCTTTTCTACCATGAGGAAAAATCCCCCCTCCCCTTATCGAAGACGAAATTCGTCATGCTGTATTTGAGTACACAAGTCGACTTGTTTTGCTAGAAGGCCAAGAGACGCAGCCGTGGCCTCGTTTGCGGGCAATTTGTCATGCTGTTTCGCCCTTCCAGCTGCCTCCTCTCATGCTGAAGATTTCCCCCTTACAGTCCGCATCTTTTCCCTTCTAGCATGACAAAATGACTTGTGTACACAAATCCCGCATCACAGACTTCCATTTTGATATGGGGAGGGGGGATGTTTCATTTTGATACTTTCGACCTCGTCTTCATCGACGGCGACCACACGCTGCCGGGGATCATATCCGATTTGGAGCAGTACGCGAGCAAAGTGCGACCGGAAACCGGCGTGCTCGCGGGCCACGATTTCGCCGCCTCGTATCAAGTGCAAAAGTGTCTGGGTCTGGAAGAGTGCATGTTTGTCATGCTTGTCCGGCATGACTCTTAAATCTGTCATGCACGTTACCGAAGAGCCCCATTTATTTTTCTGTCTTGCAAAAACGCAGTTTGTAATGCAGAATAGGCAACACTTAGAAGCTCAGAAACTTGTCATGCTGATCCAGCACTTGTTGCTTCCTCATGATACGCCACCCAGCATCACAAGTTTCCAGACCCAGACAGTTTTGCATTTGATACCTCGCGGTTTCCCGCCATTCCCGTGGCCTTGAGCTACTTTGTCGTTCCACCATCTGTATCAAATGCAAAAATGTCTGGGTCTGGAAGAATACAAACTTGTGATGCGCATCTCAGAACACAGAAAAATCTCTCATGCATAGGAAGCAAAAGCTGCCCACTTTCTCTCACCAAAATGGGGGATTTGTCATGCGGATTCGGCATTGCGGAAGCTTCTCGAAACCTGTGATGCTAAAGCTTCCATGCCAGACCTTTTGTGTCATGCAAAAACAGCATGACTCTTCCAGACCCAGACATTTTTACAATCCATAATCTGCGAGGCGGGGTTGGTCGGTGGAGGATGGAACACATCGTCGTGATCTCCAGCAGGAAGCTGCTGCTAGTAGCGCTTCTGTTCTTGTTGGCACTGCAACAATACCATTTGGACAGGAGAAAGAGCAGGAGAAAAGAAGAAGTGAACCTGCGGGCGGCAGCACGTCGGCCGCGAAGATCGATTCTCTCTTTGAAATAGATGAAGAAGTGACGAGTATCATTCCAGACCCACGGCTGACGGATTTGCACGCCAGAGTGGGATACTTGTTTGAGCCCGAAATCCACCTGGACACCGACTACGTGTGGTGGGTGAAGAGGAAGTAGCAGTAGGCGAGATTTGGATGCCTCCAGCACAACAAATAAAATATTGAAAAGTTGTGCACGACCGACCTCCAGGTTCTTGTGCCTGCATCCCGCGGCAAAATAGTCCTCTCGAGCCTTTGCGCTGTTTCGCGAACCGAAACATACTTTTTTGGCGGTGTACTGGTATCCGAATCAGAATTCTTTCCGAAAAAGCAATCTTTGTATCCTCGTGCTTATCTCTTCTAAACTGGGTTGTGTTTAGCGGAATCGTCGAGGTGTGTCGTTTTCAGGTGGCAGTGTGCGGAATAAAATTCGTCCTGTCCGTATTGGTGCTCGCGAAGGACTGATTTGAGTTCAACAACTGCAAGCCGAAAGTTGTGATGTGCTATGGCAATTCGTTTGTTTTCCGGGGTATATATATAAGATGCTTGCTCTCGTCTTTCTTCTCTTTCCTTTCGTACAACAAAGTGAAAATTTCACTTCATGATCACCAGTGAAAGAAGATTAATACAGTCGTACAAAGTTGTGAAAATCGTTCACCCTGCTCACCAGCGTCGTAATTGCAAAAAAGTCTTGCAGGAGTCGTGCAAAGTTCGTGACCTCGAGGGGCACATGAAGGGATGTGGTGTGGCTGCTTCTTGGCGCATTGATCAAACATCACCCCGGATGCCCCTGAGGGCATCAATTTTCCTCTCATTAATTAAAAACAGCTTCCGCCCTTTTTTTTATTTGGTGCTGCATGATAGACGGATGCGAAAAGCAAAAGAAAAGACTCAGCAGGGGCTCAAATCCATAACTAGCGCGAGGCCGAGGAGATCAACGACATCGAGGGCGCATGATTCCGATTTCTTTTTTCAAGAAGAAGAAAGGGGGGAAATTGAGCATCAACTAAATAGGCATGATAATATGTATGCGGGGCCCCTTTTTTGCTCTTGCTTCTTGGCTACAAGGTCTGGTAGGGACTGTTTCTCTCGGAGTTTGCTTCTGTTCCCTCCTTTGAGTTGTATTTTTTGAGAAGTCCATACTAGATGCGTCTGTGCAATAGGAGCCTCTTCTTAGCTCCTAGTAGCCAGCGGAATCATGCAGTTCACTACTGGCAAACCCGCACCGAACTTCCTCAAATGAGATTTTTGACTTGTAGGCAGTAAGCAAAAAGCTCCAAAAGTTATAGAGACGACGAAGCGCATATGAGTTGCCCATATGTGATTCTTGTATGACTCAAAATCCCTCCCAATAACTGGAAAGCTTTATTGTAAAAAAGTATAACAAGACAAAGAAACAAAAGCTGAGTCCAGTAAAGCTTTCCTGTATTCGTCTCTCTATAACAGCGCCAAAGAGCAGCGCTGCCCGTCCAGATGCACGCAGCATCTACAGCTATCCATCTAGAGTCCACAAAATTGCAAAGATCCCTGTGATCATTTTTTTCCGCCCTTTAGGTTAGATAGGAGGTGTCAGGGGGCGAGGTAGTGATATAGGCTCGCACACCTGAGGACGTAGGCTCCCTTACTAGCTGTATGTGGGTCATTCCCGACGGTGGAGCGTGGTTTTATATGAGAACCAGGTAAGGCTTCACTGCCGAAACGACGAAGAAACGTTGGTCCAGCGTAGCACTGTCAAATGGCGACCGAACCTATGCACAGCTAAGGTTTTCTAGCCACGGCAGTGTTGCTCACTCCGTACCGGGTCCCGTGCGAGCAACCGTAGCCAGCGAAGTGGAGAGGGAAACCACTGTTCAGACGTTACCGGAGAAATTTGGTAGCGATTGGATCCCGGGAGCGCACCCACAGAACTTGACCATGAACCTGTGAAGAACACGACGGCAGCGATCCCCGATCATTTTCATCAAAACTCCGATCAGAAGTTGCTATTGTGATCTTTATAAGTTTATGGCTAAGATTATGTTTTCAAAAAAAAGTGAGTGGAAAAGAGCTTTGGTCTGCTATTACGTTTAGTCATCAGCAGTCCACCTTTCACGGCTCATAATTCTTCTCCGGTCGTTCCAGTTTACAACCCTGTTGTAGTTTCAGCCCTGAGAATTACTAAGAAGAATAAAGCAGGTGCAACAACAAGTAGAGCCGCAGGTTCTACTTCAAGCGCGCGTGCGGGCGACAGGATCGTGAGGACCGGGAAGAAGGTGATCGGTGCAACAGCCTCCAGCTCTCGCGCAGTTGTTCCTCGTCCTCCAGCAATTGATGTAGAGCAAATGGCTCCATTCCCAGCACCGCAGCGAGAGGCGGACGAAGGGGTTGCTCTACTTCCCACTGCTTTCGCCCCGTCTACCTCTTCTTTCTTGGGGGAGAAGCTGCAAAAGGTCCGGGCCGCTGCTGTTATCAAGGGTGAAGTAGAACAAGAAGAGTCGAAAATACAGGGTCCAGCACCGCCTGTAGTCACCTCTCTGCTCCAGGTGGACCCTGCAGTTTCAGCACCTGCTGTCACTCCTCCCGTGCTGCGGGCAGACAGCACTCGGTCCGAAAGCACCGGCTCAACGAGGACAGCTGGTGATCACCCGGAGCAGAATCTGCCTAACAACGAGGATTCGCTGTGGAAGCCCGTCGGCGGCGGGGCCGCCCTGCCGAGGCTGCCGGAAGGGCCCTGGCCGAACTACTGGCCCGTTCAGGTGGAGGCGCGAAACCGGTTTTCTGTCGCTCACGAACAAGTGCGGGTGGACAACGCGCCGATGCTATCCCGAGGATAAAACGCTGTTACTTGACCCATAGCTGTTGTACCCGATCGAAGTTGTCAAGATGATGGGATGAACGCTGCTAATACTTACAGCATCACAAATGAACACGCAGCAGTTCTTTTGGGAGCCAAGCATGACAAAGTTGGGTCCAGCACTCGGCCATCGTCGTGGCTAAGGCTAGCTGGCCTAGCTGCATCACAAATCGTCCATGCTCTCATGCTGTTGATTAGAGCATGAGAATACCTTGCGTTGTTATGTAATACCATTGAAAATATACTATGGCCCTCATGGCCGCATGAGACACTTGCTACACATGATCCCGGACGACTTGCATGACGAGTATATGTGGGGTCGTGGCTGCGTTTTTGATCAGGATAGATGCCCGCCTGTGTGGAAGCCTTGCCGTACCACACGTTGGTGACCACAACGGCGCACTTATGGAAAGGGAAAAGTACGTACACTTTACACATTTTTCGTTGTGATGTTGCAGGACAAGCAAGACAAAATGCCCGAAATGCTGCTCGCGAGCCTCTCTCCCTGCGTGTTTTCGCTAACGAAGTTTCCACCTAATTGCAGGTTTGCTTATTCTCTGTCATGCAGAGCAAGCTTGCTGAACCCAACCTGAATGTCGTGGGCGTGCAACTACAAATATTTTAAAGTGTAACACTACTTTTTCCTTGAATAGCACTATGCTTACGACGAGTGGCAGGTCGATGGGCGGTTTGAAAACTTGTGGGCGCGGTGTGAACGGTACTGCCTAGAGGACTACAAGACGTGCCGGGCCTGGCAGTGGGAGATGTTGCTCTCCATCACTTCTACAGGACCCGCGGAACGGACGAGCAAGTGTCGGCGCTACGACGCTGCGAGCCCCGTTTTCGAAGTTCCGCAAGCACCGGATGAGCAGCTTACCCTCACCGTCAACGACCACGAGGACGCGCAGGTGCCGGCAGTGGTGGTGGGCCGTTGCATATGCAACAAAAAAACTGTGTAAGTGTAACTCTGTAATGCAGAATATGCAACAGAGTTACAACGCCTGTCTTGCCACACAACCACGAAGTCCTTTTTTCATGTGTGTTTTCCCTTACAAGCCGCGCATGACTTCATGTAGAGCAAATTTGTGATGCTGTCAGCCAAAGAAACTTACACTTACACACTTTTTTTCTTGGATATTGCATCCCAGACGTGCACCGGCTCGCCACCATGGACCTGTTGGAAGTTGCGCCGCGCGGTGAAGTATCAAATATAAAAGTGTCTGGGTCTGGAAGAATGCCATTTGTCATGCTAAATCCGAAGCATGCAAAAATCTGTGTTGCATGATTACCAAAAGGAGTCCAGTTTTGACCAAGTCGGGAGGGAGTTTCTCATGCAGGATAGGCATGAGAGAGATCGCACAGAATCTGTCATGCTAGGTCCCGCATTCCAGACCTCATGGGTCATGGAAAAGCTGCATGACAAATCGCGCATTCTTCCAGACCCAGACATTTTTGCATTTGATATGAAGAGGAGTACTCCCTGCCCCTGCAGCCCTTGGTCTTTGATCCGGGGCCCCCAATTCGTTTCCCGCCAGCTATGCTGACTGCAGCGCAGATAAGTACCAACCACAATGGAATCCCGAGCAAACCCTTGCACTACGAGGCGGGTGGGGAGACAAAATGGCCTTCTACCTGCAGCCATACAGGAGGGGCGGGACCGGGGCAGCTGTTATGGTGGCGGATCCAGTTCGCCGACGGGGAGGCACACCACGTGTCTCGCCTGGATTTGTTCAATCGCCAAGATTGCTGTCAACAGCGGCTGAACCAAGCGATTGTCTGGCTGGACCCGCCGATCTCTGCCTTATGGATTGTAAAAATGTCTGGGTCTGGAAGATTCCAACTTGTCATGCTAAATCTGAATCATGCAGAAATCTGTGTTGCATGAGTGCCAAAAGGTGTCCACTTTCGGCCAACTTTGGAGGGAGTTTCTCATGCAGGATAGGCATGGCAGAGACCTCACAGACTCTGTCATGCTAGTTCCCGCATTCCAGGCCTCACGAGTCATGGAAAACCTGCATGACAAGTTCACGCTCTTCCAGACCCAGACATTTTTACATTTGATATGCCTTCATGGGAATGGAAATAAACGAGGATGACCCGGCAAACTACAACGCGATCGGGGAGACGTTGCACGAACTATCAACTGTAAAAATGTCTGGGTCTGGAAGATTCTGACACTTGTCATGCACGTTTTGCATGAGCCCTGATGTCTGTGATGCATGCCCTAGCATCACAGATTTTTTGGGAGCTTCTTGATGCCTATTCCGCATGACAGATGCCGTCTCCGCGTAGCAAAAATTACATTCCTTTTGGTACTCATGCAATACAGATTTTTCTGGAATCGAAATGCAGCATCACAAGTTGCATTCTTCCAGACCCAGACACTTTTACATTTGATACGAACTGCTCTTCGACATGCAGTTCTCGAGGGAGGGTGTGGATTTTATCCGACTTGGCAACGTGCCCGACGGTCGAGGCGGGGGTCGCGCAATCCCTCTGGACCAGGGGCGCTTGGCACGTAAGCAGCCTGTGCGGCGCGTGTATGTGACGCCGCATGAGGACATGCGGGACGTCTTCACCATCTGCGGGGCTCACCTGTACGGCCCTCCCGGGAGCGTCACAACCTCGCAGCTTAGTCTGCAGGCGGCACGGGAGATGCCGCTGCCCTTCTTATCAAATGTAAAAGTGTCTGGGTCTGGAAGATTGCCAGGTTTGTCATGCACATTTTGCATGACTCCTGATGTCTGTGATGCATGTCCTAGCATCACAGATTTTGTGGGGGCTTCCTGATGGGTATACCGCATGACAAATGCTCTTTCCGTGTAGCAAAACTTGGACTCTCTACTTTGCTGCTCATGCAATACAGATTTTTTTAGAATCCAAAATGAAAAACAGCATGACAAGTTGGATTCTTCCAGACCCAGACATTTTTGCATTTGATGCCTCTTCATCCCCTGCGACTCGCGGTTTTTCGGAAACGCCGTGTGGCACAATTTGAATGTACGCAGGGCGGACGTACAGGAGGGCTCGTCTTCATCGTCGAAAGCCCGCCGGTTTGCGGATTTTTCGTCCGAGCTGAAGGGGTACCGGCTGCGCGACTGTCCGGACGGTTTTGACCGGCTCGCGAGCTGTTTGGTCACCGAACCCGGGTTGGCTGGTACCCGTGCACCTCCTGCTGTGTTTGCAGAAAACATCACGCACATGGACGTGTTTTCGTACACCGAGGAACTTTTGAACAATGACCAGCCAATACACCCACGCTGCTCTGAACAGTGCGGCTGTGAAGACGCTGCAATTACCGCCGGCGTGCCAATGCCACTGACGGTAGAGCGGTGGAAGAACCAGCGCCAGCCGGCTTACGAAGCAAACTACCAGGTGGTGGAGACAGATCGCTACCTTTCGGAGCAAACGCCGCCGCCCATCGCCGCTCCGGAACGGGTTTTCGGTGCGAACGCCACGATGGAGTGCAGCGGTTGCGCCGCAACCCCAGGCGCGCGGCCGTTTGAGTGCTCGGGAGAGTTACTGTCGTCCAGTCGGGCTTCTGGTTCTTCTTGCACGGTGCTGGACCTGCATGACGGGACCGTTTCGGAGGAGTTTGTCGGAGTGTGTTGCGAATTCGACAAAAACTACTACGAAATGAACGAGGCCGTAGTTCTCGACGATGCAAAAAATGATCCGACAGCGAAGATGTGCACCCTGGCCAGCAGCCTGGTCGGGAAGGGCAAGACGTTCGGGCTGACCAACTACTACCTCTTCCACCCCGAGTCGTACCCAACCTGCAGGGCGGTGCCGACCTGGGTCCGGGACTTTGTCCTGAACCCGGCCCCCTGTCGCGACGGGGACTGCGGGAATCGCGCGGGGAACGTCTGCGAGAAATGTGATGGAGCACGTACAACTGAACTTGCAAGGCAAAACGCACTAGTAGCTAGGAATGATGGTGGAGGAGAGCATGGGACCACTACATCTACTCCAGATGTCGACCGTGGAACAGAAAACGACGCGGAAGAGGATGCTGAGACCACTACTACCTCAGGTCCGGAAGAAAGAACACCTCTACGTCATCTTCTAGCAGAAGGAACTGCGTCATCTACTCCCCCCTTCCGTGGTCTGGCCTGCTGCAAGAAGCCACTCCCACGACCGCTCCCCCCGTCCGTCCTCGTGCTCCAGAGTTGCCACGGAGCGCTCCAGTCTAATCACACGGCGTCCAAAGCGCCACTCTCTGTCCGGGTTCTCAGCGACCTTCCGGAGGAACCGTGGTTCGAGGAGGACGTTTTGTTTACTGACAAAAATGGGGAGGAAAAAGTAGTCTTGGTGAACCCTGTCGTCGTGGAGGCAGACGACGTCTCGAACGCAACTACTACCGTTGCTACAATTTCTCATGCACCTCCCACGATGAATCCAACCCTTATCTATGGAAGGCGAAACTTCAAACGGCTCGTGCTGCACCACAAGAACCACACCGACGGCCTGTGTCTGGAGCGAATTACGTGGAACGGCGTGGACCTTTTCTACACGGGGAACAGAACCTGGTTCGATCGCATGCTGGATCATAAATCACACAACGACTACTTCGAACCGCAGGTGAAGGAATTCAATTTGGAAAACCTACCAGCAACAGCCCCGGCTTCCTGGCAGGAAGAGAATTCCCCACATGTACGCCGCTTCCTGGCACAGGATGCTGGTGCAGGTCCACCCCCCGAAGCGAGTTCTGCTGTAGTGGCTGCTACTAACAGTGGTCACACCGCGGCGGAAGGACAAGGAGGAAATGATACAGCAGCAGATCATTCTCATGCCACTGTACGACCACCAGTGCAGGAGGGGAGCGCTGCTGCTGCTGGGAGGGTGCAAGACGGCGTAGCAGAAGTATCAACTGTAAAAGTGTCTGGGTCCTCTGGAAGAATTCATGTTTGTCATGCTTGTCCGGCATGACTCTTAAATCTGTCATGCACGTTACCCAAGAGCTCCGCTTTTCTGTGATGCAGAAGCGCAGTTTGTCATGCAGAATAGGCAACACC